AAGGCCGATAACTTGGTTACAGGTGGATCTAGAAGTAAAGTCCTCTGCTATAAAGTTTAAAAGTGGTAGAAGTTTTTTTGCTTGAAAAACAAAGTATGTGACTACTTGTTGTTGCAGGCTAAACATCAACAGCCGAGAAAAACTGTTGTTACTTAATGAGACCTATAACATTATTCTTACAGTACATGCGCTTGCAAAGCAGGAGATAGTGATATAGGGCTCCTTTCTAAAGTACCCTCATATGGAAACAGCTATTGCATCAATCAGTAACCGGGATGCTCTATACTATATGATTACAACAATAATAATCTTTACTGCTGTTTCTAAGGGGAGCTTTGGAAGGCTGGTTCAGAGCTGCAGCAGTATTAAAATCTCCTTTTTGTTTATAGCCATTAGATTAATGTGTTAATCTTTTCTTTTATTTATTTATTCCATCTAGCGTTTTTTATATATGGTAATTTATATCTGGTGAATAACTGAAAACGTACCCTTGTACATAATTATCTGAAAACATGTTATTTTCCCTATGATATGTATTTATATGGACAAGTTTCTGTTTGAGTGAAAAGCGAACTAGTTAAAACAAATCTTTTCATCTTTTCCAGAGAAAGGGTCAAAATAACTTCTTTTAGGATGATAATGATGGGCAATTCACTCGACACTAGGACTCACATGCGGTTATAGTTATGTATATCAATAGTGGTGGAAACGAAAACATATGGGAGATGAAAAATGCTCTAATCTGGCTGCCTCTACATTTTCAGTACATATCAGACCTTAAAACATCTTTATTGCTATGCCAAAATCTGCACTTCATAAAGTAATTTCTCACATCTGTTTCTTTCTTATACCGTAGCAAAACCTAAGGATACCTTTTAAACGTTGTTATTTCTTTGTTTGTTTGCGTGTTTTTAAAAAAAACATTAATATCTTTTAAAAATGACATTAATAATATTTATGGAAAAGTTTAGAGAACAAGTTACCTAAATTCTCATTTCAAGTAGTCTAACAAAATACACTTTTAGAAGTCATATTATCTGTTTCCCAGAACTATGCTTCGTAAAGTGGCAAATTGTTTTTAGTTCACATGTCAGCATAATAGTGTACTCACCTGCATTAGATTTATTCTGGAAAAAGCCCGAAGGCCATTTCTTTAAAGTGACCTTCAGCAGCCAGGTTCTGTCACAATAAATCACTATTACTTAGTTTCACTGAAATAAGAAAATCTTACATGCTACTTAAGTGATTTATGAAGTTGTTTTCACGAAAGAGTGACATTTGGAAAGCTATATATTTTCCCTAAAGTGTCCAAATATTTTTCCCAATGGCCCAGGGGTTTCAGCAATACTTCCGATATTTTTAGAAACTGACATGTTTACTTTTCTAAATTCTTTCTTGATGGACTCTGTTAAAAATCATAGCTTTCTTTTAGTTTATAAAAAATGTATAAAAAGTTGGGGAATGGTTCTTTTCATGAAAACTTTAGAATCCAAGCCCTTTTAAGAACATATATACCATCGCAGTTCATGTGATTGCCTGTTTATTTTTAGTTTAGTCTTTTACTCTTATGGTGCAATTGTTGCTTAAATAATAATAATAATAATTATTATTATTAAGATGTTCTCCCAGTCCCTAGAGAAAAAAATAAATGAACTTATTTTATTTCTCCAATTCTCACTGCATTTAAGTTTAATTCAATGCAATTTTGACAAGTCGAGTTTATTTGTATAGCACAATTCAAGACAAAGACATTTCAAATTGCTGTACATGATTTAAACAAAAAAATAGAAGAAGAAAAATAAAAGCATAATAAAAGCTCATGAAGATTAAAAGCATAATAAAGGCAAGTAAAACAAACAAAAGCCTCAGACCACCATCTTAAACTAATACCTCAGTTAAGAGTTTAACTTAAACAGTCAAAGGCAGCTTTAAACAAATGGGTTTTTAACTTTGACTTATGAGAACTCAGGCTTTCAGCACTCTTACAGCCTTCTGGAAGTTTGTTCAAGATAAGTGGAGCAAAGGAACTAAATGTTGCTTCTCCATGTTTGGTTCTAGTTCTGGGTGAACAGAGTAGTAAAAGGGTCTACCTATATAAATCAGTTTGTTTGGATTAGTTCAAATGGAGTCAATTTCTGTTCCATATTAATTCATTTATTTGTTCATTCCGTTATCAATCATAATAAAATTTTATTTAAAGGTATAGAGGACGGTCTTTTATTTCCGGGTGGATCATCTAAAATAGCGGTCCTCCTCATTGTCAATCATTCTGGTGTTATGTTTACATACGGCTGTCCTACATGTTAATTCCGTTAGCTATCTTTTTATGGGCATGCGCACTTTCAGGCGTATATTTGTGGTGAGCAACAGTTTTCGCCCGGTGAAGGAGTAACACTACCAACGGGGAGCAAAGAGTAGTGATCTGTCCAAACACTCAGTTTCGTAACTGAGTTTACTATAAAGTTCACTATATAGTCCCTGCTCTATATAGTGATTGAGGGATATAGGGGTTAGGGCAGACATTCGGACACGGTAAGCTTGTATGAGCTATGAGAACAGCAACTTTTAAACAGACCATGCACAGAAGAAATGTGCTTGTGCACGCTTTTGAATGCGTTTAATAGGCGTTCTCTCTTGGGAGCGGGTTCAGGGTTGTTCATGTAAAAAAAATTTTAAGTGGAGAGGGTTAGTCTAAAAAATTCATGAAAATCCTCAGCAATACCTCTAAGTTTTGTTCCATCAAAGTTACATGGCACTGAATTATTTTGAATTATTTTAATCCAATTTGACTGAATTCGTTTAACTTCATATAAACTCATTATTTTTATCTCGCTGCAATTATCTTTATTTTTCCCCTATTTAATTCTTTTTAAACAGTTTTCTGTTATTCCATAGAAAATGAGAAAATAACTCCATTCAAAAACCAGGATCTCAGATTTGGAGGAGTTGATTCATGGAGTTGATTAAAGAGGGATCCAACCATATCATCCACAGAAAACAGGGACGAAATCTACTAGTCCCCCAAATAGATCCCTACTGCTCCATGGCTACACCTAGAAATTCTGTCCGTAAGGTTAGAACAGGACTGATGACAGAAAGCTGCCCTGCTGGAGACTAACATGCAATGGGAACAGGTTCAAGTTAATACCAGCAGTTGTATATATGATATGATCATCCCTAGTAAAGGGCCCCCAATCCATACTTCTGGCATGCCCCGCATAGAGTATTACAAGGGATACAAATGCCTTTTCCAAGTCAATAAAAACATGTTGACCGGTTGTGTGATCTCCCATTAACTCTTGAGCCCTCTGCAGAGGGTGTAGAGCTAATCCAGTGTTCCACAGTTTTCCAAAGCATTCCACAGTGTTCCACAGGTTCCACTGAAACCCGCACAGCTGTGCAGTGGGGGCAAAGGGAAGTATTGTTGCTCAGCAGCAAGAAGGTTTGGGGTTCAATACCCAGCCTTGGGTCTTTTTGCATGGAGTTTGTATGTTCTCCCTGTGCATCTCTAAAATTGTCCTTAGGTGTAAGTTTCTGTGCATGGTTGTATGTTTTCATGTGTCTCTGTGTTGCCCTGCAACAGACTGGCAATCTGTGACCCTGATGGAATAAGTTGGAGAAGATAGATGGATGGATGGAGTCAACTAAAATGCTGCTTCCCTTTCTAAGTACAAATTAATCATATTAGAAAGGAAACTACAAATCAAAGATACACCCAGCAGCATATCTTTTGACATCACATGGGAACCAGATTGATGTCAACTAAATCTGTTGTAGCATAACAGAGAAAATGATGCTAAACAAGTAAGTTGTCGGTTAAAAAATATTGTGCAAATCTAAAGAAAACGTTAGCCATAGTCTGAAATTGACTAACAATATAAACAGATTTATTTTGTCAAAAGGTAAACCACGTAATATCAAGTGAATATGCAAAGCACTGTTGCATAGATATTACACTAAACACATAAAATTTTGCAACATGAGAAAATATGTTTAGATCCAACATCCAGCAAACAAACTTTAAGTTTAACTTTTTTCAGCACCCAATCGGAGACTTGATAAGTAATTATTAACAGAAGTCAGAAAGGATTTTAACATTTAGGGTTTGGCAACATATATCGCCTCTAAAACCACTCCTTTATTAAAACTGATTCCATGAATTTCCCTCCTCCCCATGAGAGAAAGGAACAGGTCTCTCATCAGAGCGCAGTTTAGTGTGCCGAGATGGTTCATTGCAAGGGCTTCATTAAGCCTCTCTATTGTTAACATCTGTGTTTAGAAAGACCCTTTCTTTGGTATATGCTGACCTTCTTTAAAAAGGGATTTTATTACACCATGCAGTTGACATTGGCAGCAATGGCAAGTCTGGCAATGAAAGCCTTCAGTGATTTAGGTCACATGAGATCAATCTAAGCTGGCTGTTTCCCTGAAGTCTTTAGCTGCAAGTAGAAGAGGGAACAGAGTGGCTCTCATCTTGTTAATTTAACATAAACACAAATCGAGTGTAAATAAGTTGACTTGTATTCAATGCTTTGAAATGGAAATCTTTAGAATTTCTTTGATCCTGTTTTTGGTTTTGTTTCTTTTTGGATTACCAAAATATTTAGAAATTTTCTTTTGTATTTCAAAAGATATTATTATAAATGATTCTAAAATGTATTTTTTTGTATTCTCTATACCAATTTCTCTCACTCTGTTTTTTCTTATTTTGTTTTTGTCTTTAGTGTCTTTTGTATTTTTCTTCTTTAAATTTTCCTTATTGTCCAAAGATTTTGTAGCTGTTTGATTTTTCAACTAAGCTAATCTCTCATACCAGACATCCTCCCTCCCTTGCACTTTTCTTTCCCTGCCAGAGATGTGGTTGCCATGACAACTGCTGAGTCACTGTTCACCCAGTCTCCATCCTCCCTCTAATGTCATTTCCTCATGAAGCATATAGGCCTGAATTAGAACACAGTTGTAGCGTAGCAAATTTACTGCTGTATGTTTTGTTTTGTTTTTCCTGAAGAGGTGAGCTGCAGTCATTCTAATGGGTAACGTACCTACTACAGTAAAGCACTGCTTGAGCTATAAGCAAATCATCGAGGACTACCCTTGGTTGAAAAGCTGGCTAGAGGAAGAGAAGGTAGGTATTGTTATTTATCTATTTAATGTGCTACAAATAACTTGCAATGTAACTTTTTCATTACGGATAGGCATGAAGCAGCAGCTCATCACTGTATATTAACCCTGTTGATGCAGAGGTTATTGCCTCTGCAACACTGCACCAGGTGTTCAAGCTCTATGTATTTGGACTTATCATTGTTTGCACTTTTCACTACTGCTGTGTTGTCAGCAAACTTCAATACTTGACAGCTGGGGTGTCTTGCAGAGCAATCACATTTTAGCAGAGGGAACATAAGGGGGCTCAGCATCTGGCCCTGGAGCGAGCAGGTGCTGAGGGTGATGGAGGAGAGATGGTGTTGGGTATCCTCAAGGTATGAGGTTTATTAGGACTCAGTTCTCCATGTTGGAGACCAAGTCCAAGAGTGAAGAGCTTCTGCATCAAGGTTTATGGGAAGATGATTTGAAGGCAGAGTAGAAATCCAGGAAGAGCAGGCGGATTTAAGAATTTCGGCCCCCCATGTGGGTAAGGGTTGTGTGGACCACAAATGAGATGGCGTCAGTGCTGGATTGGTTCCTTCTGTAGATGTACTGATATGGGTCCACAGTGAGATTGATGGAGTCATTAATCTGGGTCATTACTATCTTTTCCAAACACTTTATGGCTACTGATGTCAAGACTATCATTTAATAGTCATTTAGGCCTGTAACTGTGGAGCATTTCAGGACAGCTACAACAGCGGCAAACTAAAAGCATGTCGGGACAGATGTCAGTGACAGTGAGTTGTTAAAGGTGACTGCCAGGGAATTCCCAGTCCCTTCGAACCCACCCTAGGATGTTGTCCAGGCCTGCAGCCTTACATGCAGCCTACATTAATTCTATGAAGGTTCTTCCTCATGTCTGCTGTGGTCAAACAGTGAGTTACTGTACCAGGTAAAAATATCAGTCTGGTGCAGATGGGTGGTGGGATCCACAAAGCAGACATAGAACATGTTGAGTGCATCTAGCAATGAGGTGCTCCCTTGAGCATTTTGCATCTCTGATGTTGCAACCTGTGATCCATTAAAAGCGTTTTAAATGGGCAACAGGTCATTGGTGGTGAGGTGACCCTGAATTTTCAGGTGATATGTGGCTTTGGTGTTTGCAATGCTCAGTCTTTTTATTGCCTCTCAGAGATCTGATGCCTCACCTGTCCTGAACACAGCATGCCTAGCTTTCAGCAAAGCCCTAAACTTAGCATTCAACCAGGGTTTCTGTTTAGATTTCAGGTTTCTGTCCTGGTAGTAATGAGCACATTTTAGGCGGTTGCAGTGTCAGACTGTCGTGGTGAAGAAGGAGCTGAGTCAGGGGGAAAAGCACTTGATTTATAGATCGATCTACGTCCCCCCCTCACTTATTGTAATGCGATCTGGGTAATGACCAAAAGGACAAGATTGCGAATAAAACTATTTTCTCTAATAAAACATACAATAAACAGAATGTTATCAGAACCTGATAACATTTTTGAAAGTTCAACCCTATCTGTAAGTAAATTTGTTAAAAGCTGCTATATATTTTAGTATGGAAAAAAAGAAAATTATTTCTCAAACACTGTGTCAGAACAGCGGTCTCTAAGTTACTTAAATAGATCAAACTCCCAATGGTGAGAAACTTGCAAGATAAGTGAGAACTTAAAAGAAGTTCATGGGAAAATCCCTGCATATCCTGGATTTTTGGCTTCAGAATGCTGGATAGTTGTTATCACAAGTCAAGTGTATACTACACGTTACTCCTGGATGTAAATCTGGTTAGTAGGAGGATTTCTTTAAATCATTCAGTCTATCACACATTTGATATAAGATCAGACATAAAAAGCATCAAACTGTTTGATGCTCTTTGGGTTCACAGGCAGAGCTAAATCCTCGCTATGCCTCATCTTATCCTTTACATTTAATTTGCTATCAATATTGTGGATCACAGACAGAGTTTATTACCATTTTACCCAGTATTAACCTCTATAATCACTTCTAGTCGATAGATTTCATCTCCAAAACAGCCATATTCTGTAAAAGCTTGTCAAAGTCCTTTGTGGTAAAGGAATGCATCTCATGCTGGCATTGACTTGTCAGAAAAAAACCCATGGTGAAATCCTTTAGAAATCATACATATAATCCTCGATAGCATGAAGGAGTTCCAGTCCAACACATTTCTCAAAATATATATATATATTTTTTTTTATTTTTTATTTTTTAAATATCCATATTTTCTTTTAAATTAAGCCCGTATTTAGTCTGTTGGATTTCATTTGGTCTCAGATATTAAAGCTTAAGTGAAAATTCAACCCGGAAGACTCTTAACGAGCCTAACGTGGAACCCCTGCTGACTCACTCAAGCTTCAACCAATCAAGAAAAGACCGCCTCTTCTCCGAAGTCACTTGTTTCTCAAGACGCTCTTCATCGAGACAAAGGGCCAGCTTCCCCATTCAGCACCTCTGCCGTACTTTGATCCACCTCCACCTTATCTCCTCACTCTTAGACCCTCTCATCCTCTGGCTCATTCCACCACTCGCGTCCTTGCCCCAGGGGAAAGACCACTCTTACCCTCTTTCTAAATCATTCATCCAGGCTCATGATGACATGCAGCATGTCTTCAGCCGGGGTCTGAGCACCAAAGAATTTATTTTCATTTATGTCGATACAATCTTTCTAATTGCTTATTTTCTCCTTTTGTCTCTCTAGGTTGAAATGCCCTAAGGCACACTGGATGAATTGATACATGTCTTATTATTGCACTAAGCTTTTGTCTTATTTCCATTTTCTACAGATCATTACCGAACATGAGTATCCAGACTTTGTGAAAATTGTTGAAGTTGGTCCAAGGGATGGACTTCAAAATGAAAAGGTGTACTTTGACATCTCCATGAGAAACCTCATATGTATATGAGTAACACTGTTTACTACACATGGCGACTTCTCCAGAAAATAAAAAATTCTTATATACAGTACATAAAAAAATAAGAACGTAGGGCTGCCTACAGTGAAATCATTTATGCATTGAAAGAATTTAACATCATTAAACTGATGCCTTACTTTTTTAAAATCATGTTTGACAAAATATGCATGGAATTAAATAGTTTAAAGTTTTAAGGTTTTAAACACCAAAGTAAAATGCATTTGTGTAACTTAAAAGATAAAATAATGTTTTTAAAAATAAAGCCATGTGTAACCATTTTCAGTTGTATTATTTCCCAGGAAAATGTACCAACAAGGGTAAAAATCCAGCTGATCGACATGCTTTCAACAACAGGCCTTTCTGTGATTGAGGCCACAAGCTTTGTCTCTTCAAAGTGGGTACCGCAGGTAATTGCCCTTTTTTATTGTTTACAACAGCAAAATGTAAGGTGATTTATCAGATACTTTTTTTCCCCTGCCAAGATATGTTTTTATTTCCTGTCTACACATTAAGGTAAATGCGTTTCTATGGTTTGATCAACTCATTGTTTTCATACATTTTGGGTCTGCCTGTCCTCTTATTCCAAGAAATAAATTTACCGCATTTGTTTACAAAACATAATTTGCACCAGTTTAATTTTTTTGAAACTTAAAATCTGTTGATTATGATACTTGCATATCATATTATAGCTCTGGCTATAAAAGCTAATCATACTTTAAATCTTTTTCTGCCTAAAATTAGATGGCAGACCACACAGATGTCCTCAGAGGAATCCAGAGAGCACCTCATGTTAGATACCCTGTTTTGACTCCAAACATGCAAGGTTTTCAGGATGCTGTAAGTTTAATTTGGTGATTTGTGCCAGTAATTGATAAAATGGAGTTTATGCAATCTTGGTATGCATCATTAAATCTTTTTTTTGCCTCTATAAAAAATATTACTCAAACAGTCTTTTCAAAGTCATGTTCTTTGCTGTTCAAGGTTTCAGCTGGTGCCACTGAAGTAGCTGTGTTCGGCTCTGCATCTGAAACCTTCAGCAGAAAAAATATCAACTGTTCCATTGCTGAAAGCATGTTGCGGTTTGAGGAGGTCATTAGTGCTGCCAAAGATCGACAAATCCCTGTTCGTGGGTTTGTAATCCAAATATTTTATATCAGTTACCACAAAGACAAATTAAGGATCTCACTATCCCTGTAATGCCATGAATTTACAATGGTCAAAAACACTATTTTTTCAAAGAAGAAAAAACAAACCAGAGAGCATAATTCCATATGGTAACCAGATTATTTTGAAGTCCAAATTGGCCTAGAGTGTCTCCCAGCAAAGACAGCTGTCTTTGAAACCAAAAGAAAAAAAGAAAAAGAAAACATGTTTTCTTACCTCAATTGTAGTATTTTAGACAGTTTAGGCTTAAATAAGTACTAATAAGTACTACTAATAACTTTTTTTCTCTATTTCAGATACGTTTCTTGTGCCCTCGGGTGCCCCCATGAGGGAAACATTGATCCCTCAAAGGTTGCTGAGGTAAAACTGTATTTACATTATTCTTTTCTTTCACATATACTTGTCTAATGAAATCCATTTATGAGATAAACGCTGCTACTTTAAACTACCTACTTGTATGTTAGCATGTCACATCTTGTTTCTGGAGTATTTATTGAATATACATTTAGTAACCCTAGTATGTAGCTCCTTTAGGTATTTTGAAACTACAGACTGAAAATGAACTAAAACATACTTTACATATTGCTCGTTGAATCACTGATTTTTCAGTGCAATTATCTCATTGTAAGAAGAAATTAACACAATTTTTTCCTTCTTTAGGTAGCAAAAGGGTTATATGAAATGGGTTGTTATGAGATTTCCTTGGGAGATACTATTGGCGTTGGTACACCTGGCTCCATGTTCAAGATGCTGCAGAAGGTGATGAAAGATGTGCCAATTAAATCTCTTGCAGTTCACTGCCATGACACCTATGGTCAAGCACTTCCCAACATTCTTACTGCTCTTCAGGTAAGGTCTGCTGATGCACAACATGGAGAGAAATATCATAGAAGTACTATATCTAGGTCTGTAATGGTTTCTTTTAAACTTGAAGTTTCATGGTTTTAATTAAAGCCTACATATCACTTTGCAGCATTATACAGTAAACTGGGAATTTTTGGTTAAAGATGCTCTGATGTTTTGATACCAATGCAGATATCTAAATTGCTCCAATAAATAAAGGGAGCACATATAGGACACAATATGACTTAAATCAAATCAAACATCTGTAAAAGCGAACTGTACACTTAGGAATCAACATTGATTGACAATCAGTGGCACATGCTATTATCCAAATAGAATAGACAACTGGTGGAAATTATTGGTAATTAGCAATAAACACTCAATAAAAGAGTGATTCTGCAGGTTGGGATCACAGATTACTTCTCAGCACATATTCTTTCTGGCCAATGTTTTGATCACTTTTGAATATTGATGGTACTTTTTTGCCAGAGAACACCAGGAAATTCGCCACTGGTGTCCAGTGCTCTTTCATGATGAAAGCAGGTTCATATTAAGCCATGTGACAGACATGACAGAGTCTGGAGACTGTGGAGAGCGATCTGTTGCCTGGAACATCCTTCAGAATGACCAGTTTGGCAGTAATGATGTCGGATGGCATTTCTATGGAGGGCCACACACAACCTTCCATGTGCTCACCATAAGTACCATGACTGACCTTACAGGAGATACCAATTCAATTCAATTCAGTTTATTTATATAGCGCTAATTTACAACACATGTCATCTCAAGACACTTTACAGTTCACCAGATCATACAGTCAGATTGACTTTAAGTTTTCTATCTAAAGAAAACCAGTTGATTGCATCGACTCATTGATTCGAATGCAATCCCTCACACTAAGCATGCTTGTAGCGACAGTGGAGAGAAAAAAACTCCCTTTTAAGAGGAAGAAACCTCCAGTAGAACCAAGCTCAGTGTGAGCAGCCATCTGCCGAGGCCGACTGGGGTTCAAGGAGACAGAACCAGAGATACAAAAAAACAACTGTAAAAGGAGGCCCCGTTCAGGAAACACACAGTCAGGCAGACGACCTCTGAGCCAACTCCCATGTCAGAGGATGAAGAGAGCACACCCAGCCAGTCACAGTCAGAGAAACAGGACTACACTGGCAAAACAGGCAGATCTCCAACATCTATAAACAAAGTTGTATTGGCAGCAGCACAGCTGATATTTCTTCTACCGAGATGAGATCCTCAGAACCCTTGTGAGACCATATGCTGGTGCAGTTGTCCCTGAGTTCCTCCTAATGCAGAACAATGCTAGACCTCATGTGGCTGGAGTGGGTTAGCAGTTCCTACAGGATGAAGGCACTGAAGCTACGGACTGGTCTTCTCGTTCCCCAGACCTAAGTTTGATCTGGAACATCATTTCTTGATCTATCAACCATGGACTAACATTACATTGTGGCACAGACTATCCAGGAGTTGGCAGATGCTTTAGTCCAGGTCCGGGAGGAGATCCCTCAGAAGACCATCCGCCCGCTGGAAGCGATGTGGCTAAGCTATTTTGCACTTCCAACCAGCGTTGTGAAAATAAAAAAAACACGTCGAAAGGGCTGTTTGTAATCATATAGCGGCTTATGGATTGAACATTCATTCTGATATGATGTATTCGGAAGCCTACCGTAAGTTGAAATTATGTCTTTGTTAAATCCAGCACTGTGTGGCACCATAAATAACAGAGAGGGTATTAGCACCATTTGAACCAAATGCATGTGAACAAAAACTACAAATTATCGGATACATATCACAAAATGTATTCCCAACAATTATGTATAAGCATTTTTTACTTAACCAAACATCTATAGAATTATATACAATACATCTATAGAATTATACAACTACAATTATACAATTAAAATATCAGAATATTTTTCTTATTCACTTTGTGAAAAGAACCTAGCTTATAAAAGGCACCCTCAAACACAGGTGTGTCAGAGATGGTCTGTCCCTTTATAGGGCAGGTTCGGGATGAGGGACCTGAAGTTTTAGGTAGAGCACAATAACCTGTTTTTTCAGGGATGAAAATCAACCTTTTGTCTTCCCTGATACTTATCTGCATGAATGTTAGCACGTCATTAGAGAAGGGTTAATTTACTTGACTGCCTTAATTGGACCCAAAGAACAGCTCAACTTGCTCTAACTCTTACCCAGACATTTCTCTGCAAGTAGTGTAAATTCAGAGAATGGTCATCCTTCCCTCATCTTTGATTGCTGTTTTTTGTTTTATTTATTTATTTATTTATTTTGCAGCTGCAATTCAATTTATACCATTAGATGTGTTCATACAGATATAGTTAAATTTGAAAAGTGTAAGTGCCTAAATCTTTTCTTTGCCTTGATGAACTAGAGACAGTGTGATTAGTCAGAGCTTAAAATGTTGAATAAGGTTGTGTAATAGGTTTACACCTGTTGCCAGCTGAGTACATCACTGCTGATGTTACTAATAAAGTTAATTGTGGAAGAAAGTGTACATTTCATTGACTGCAAAATTTTGTCCTTTTCTTTGGAAATGCAAGATTTTTGTTTTACTAAATATGAATTAAAAGAAGAAAATCAATTATACTTTCAGCAAAAGGCTAGGGCTAACATTTATGTAAAATTTTGTCAAAAATGACACTGATTAAAGCCATTTGATTTCCATATGTCTCTTAAACTAATTTCTATTTACTCACACATTTAATTTATCAGAAACAGTCTGACATCCCCCTCTCCTAGTTCTGTTGGTTGCAACAGTATTTCCCTTTTTTAAATTAGAAATTTGAAATCTTGACAGGCTTCTACTACTGATCATGTGTGCGATTACAAGTAAAGGGCAGATTCCATCTTGATTTCTCCTTGAACTCCATGATCAGCTGCACAGCCTCTTATGCACTGGATATCACTTATTGCTTGACCCTCTCTTGCATTAGTGAAACTTTGGTGAAACCCAGTAATCATGCCTACACCTGTTTTGCCTAAATTAAGTCAGGATAGGGCGCCCCCAACTTGTCATTGATTTAATATTTGAATTGATTCTTGACCAAGTGTCAATATTTAATGAGTTGGAAGCAAGAATTTGTTTTCTAGTATGGCTAATCTAAGTGAATTTAATTTATAATGCATAATTTCCACAAATTAACTGAATGTTTAAAATCAAGCAAAGAAAGCTTTTAAAACACAATTTAAGAAGAAGAGTAAACACAGAAAAGTAACACTACTCCGGCAATAATCACAATGAAAAATACAGTATCTTAAACAAATGTTTAGAATTTTTTTCAGTAAACCATACCTTCAAAGTTAAATTTAGAGGACTCTCATTGATGTGCCTCATAATAACCCACAAAAGCATAATTTGGGTGTTTTTCAGCGCTTTGCCTGCGGCAAGTGCAAACCTGACATATATACAGACATAAAACAGAGGTAACTAAGATATGGCTGTATCAGTTCTCTGAAGCACATTGTCATTGCACATGAGGAAGCCCATTGGGGGCTGGGTGGGTCAGCAGATGTGAGGGGGTCAGGACAAAGGCTCACCTATTCGGTGTCTGTAGGACAAAGCAACTGGGAGAGAGGTGGATGGAAGGACCCTGGGGGGCTCCTAACTCGTCTGTCGCTTGGCTGTTGAACTCCCTGACAATGCTGTGCTTAAAGCCGGAAAATGATCCTTTCAGGTTACTCTGTGCTGAGAATGTAGTGAATAGTACTGCAGCCTTGAATAATAAAGTTTTTAAACCACCTTCTTTGTTGGAGGTTGTGCACACAAAATTTATTTTGGCTGCAATATAAAATGCATAAATGTTGAAGTACAATATTCAATTTACAACTAATGTTGCTGTCAAAATTGATTGCAAGTTAGGCTTTAGAAAGACTCCACATTGTTAGTTTTAAATGGCAATGTTTCCAGGGGTTCTAAAGCTGTAACGTTATACAGTGGGATAAAGGGAACACTGTACATCTGTAAAATTATTCTGCACATCATATATGATTCATCACAGCTGTGGCATACTCAGAGAAAATAATAGCAGCCGAGAATACTTAGCTTGCCATTTGCTCACCTATAAACAAGAAGGAAATGAAAGATTTTATCATAGTTTTTCATTACCGTGTGCCAGAACTCCACACCACCAACAGAGAGAGAAATGAATTCCCCCAGTGCTGTCAGCCCTGAGTCACCTCTTTTGTTCCCGATAAAGACATTCCTCTGTCTTTGTAACTTTTTTTTTTTTTCCAGGAGGTTGGGGGAGCTTTGTCTGAAACCTACTGTGGTAGGTCACACAAAGATAATGTATGTGCTTAGATTTCACAGGCCTGGCATGGAAATTCTTTTTGGTTTCCTGCAATATTTGTGTAGATTGTACTACTGCATCTGGGGTATTTCGAATATGGCTTACGTACGACAGTAACACGCAGTTATAGGAATTTCTTGTTGGATTCATTTGTTGATAACGTAATCTTTAATATTAATCAGAGAAAGACATTGTAATTAGTGTTGGTTAGTGCCGCATTTCATGGGAAAACTATTTAAAGGAATTTTTCCTAATGTTTTTTATTTGGAAATCACATTCCAATATTCTCTGGCTCAAAGAAAAATTACAAAGTTTAGACAACTGATACATTCTTTCAAACCCAATTGATCAAAACATCTAAAGTAGCTACTGAACCTAACATTTGCTTCTAATCATTTAAATATGATGGAATGACATGCTTGGATCACTGGTACAATTCAGGTTAGAGTTAAATGATTCTATAGTTTGGGATCAAATGTTTTATCCATCAAAATTCTCGAACTAAAACAGGCAACAGTTTTTAATATATAAATAATGCATTTTATTTATCAGAAAATTTCTTTACAGTAAAACAAGGAGATTTGTTCCTCAATTCTAAAACTATTTGCTCATCAGTCTTACACATAAAAACATGAGTTACGGTACATCCCCTTCTTAATCCACATAATGTAATATTTTCCCACCATATATTAAACTGTTTAAATTTTTTTTACTCTAGTGTGAAGGTTTCAACTAGATTTACGATTATACTTATATATAAATTATAACCAATGTTCCAAAAGAGCTCTAATGGAGAGGTTTCATCTTTTGAAAACAGATATGTTCTTACACAACTTGCGTTAAAAATATAATGGATCTTTGAGAGTTTATTCAATAGACATGAGGGGCTAAATTTTATAAACTTATAAACAGCCCACCACAATCCATTCACAAACAATTAAATTCAAATATAAACATGAATTAAATTGCGGCTGCAGTATTTTACATTGCTTCCTCTAATGCTTTGCATTTTACTCTGTAATGTAAGCATATTAGTTATGATGGAGCTGTTTGACTATGGAAACCCATTGCATGAAGCTTTGATATTAGTTTAGCAAGCAGCGCCTAATCCACTGCAGCATCAGTTTTGCCTGCTGTAAAATGTCAAGTGGCATTTGAATTTGTGGCTGAATTGCTATTCCTCACAAAATTTTCCACTTTGTTCTGCAGTCCATTTGCAATAATTAAAAAAAGTCAACTACTGTCAAGCCTTTCCCTTTCCCTCTCTTTCCCTTACCTCTTTACTGTGCAGATATTTTATATCTAAAGGAAACATACTCTGAGACATTACAACTTTTCTTATGCTATTTTGTACTATATATCCTCTTTATAATTCCTCCTGTATTTCTATCTTTAGTGGCATCTTGCTTTAACGCTGTTCTTTGTTCTCCATATAAGCTACTGGAACCAGAATTTCTCTGAAAGAGTAATCCCAAGGGATAAATAAAGCTGAGTCTAAGTCTAAATTATATTACCAATAACAATGACTGTATTTATTTGGAGTGTTTAGTAATTAGGAAAATACATAATTGGGCATCATGGTGTCATCCTCTGAACTACCCATTCGTCCAACAAATATCTGTAGAATCAATCTGTACGATTCGATAAAAGCTAGACATAAAATTGATCAGAACTCAAAGATGAAATAATATTAAGGGATAGATTCTGAGTATTTGTCTGATTTATTAAAGATCAGGACATTAATGTCATATCCATGTATGTGCTGCTTTAAAGGCGAGTAAATTAACCTGTTATTTTTCAGGAGTATTACACCTGTATTCACTCACGGATGACCAACTTATGATGCTGCAGTTTCCACTATGCTCTTTTTTCGTCACTACAGATAGGATTAGTGTTATTTCAACCGAAGGTTCAGCTGTTCATGTATGATATTCTGCTCTAAGGCAGTAAAAACAAGAAAAAAGCCATAATATGCTAATAACATGTCACCTGAAACATGCATAGCTTAACTTGATATACTACACACATATAGTTAAAGTCCTGCTCTAGCTGATAGTGCTTACAGGCTTATAATTACAATTAAGCTAACAATAGGTTGTCTATAAATACATACAGCAAACATGTAAACTGCCACAGTTAGTTCCCAAACTGTGTACCGTAATTAGGCTGGAATGCTGCATTTAAATGGTACCGTGGAATTATTTTACACATATAATTTTTATAGAATACGCATTATTGTTTTAAATAATAAAACTGAATAAAAAAAGAAAATCAGCTCCATAACTTTTCTAATGAATTTTGTAAGTGTTTTAAAGTGCCTAGAATATTACCAAAGACTGACTGTATTTGGATTTATGAGATTATAAATAAAATTAACCCACTAATCCATAAAATGGTTTACATGGAATAGAAATTGACTCAATTTGTAAATTTCTTTTATGAATACGGATATTAAAAAGTACAATTCTAAATAATAAAGTACAGTTCTATCCTGTGGGCATCTTTGGCATATCACTTTTTTCCTGATGCAAGCCTTTTCTTTATTCCTGGAAATGGTGGTTATATACAGTACGTCTTTGTCTGATATCTGTCATTTCAGTTTCAGTTGCTTATATATACACAGTATCACCTTTGACAGCCTTTATACAGATTTGGGAGCTTGTCCATCTCACACCTTCATCCAATTGTATTTTAGAATGTCTACAAACTTTCCTTGCATCATTAGAGTTAGAAAAGGCATATTGTCTTTATCCAGGAATGTATTGTTGTTTTTTTATAGCCACCTCCTAGTGAATATGGCTTTTTAATGTGGATCAAACATCTGGTTTCTGGGTACTGTAAATCTAACTGAGGGGTTTAGAGCTTAAGCACTGACCACCAGTTCCTGGATGATTAGAGGTACGGGTAATGCTGCTGAAGGGGTACGTTCATGCTGAAGGCTTGTGACCTTTCAGTGGTGGCAGCTTAGAGGAGGACGATTGGCATGAAAGATGTGTTTATACTACAAAGAAAAAAAATAAGACCTGCCTTGAAAAGTATCCTCCTCTGGCTTCCACCAAGGTCTGGAAATCTGGTGCACGGGTAACGTACACCTCCTCCCCTCTCTTTGCCAACACAAACAGCAATTACTGCTGGCTCAGACAAACCCTGAAAGAGGCAGGTTCTTGTCTGCAGGAAAAACAGCCAATTAGCTGCATTGTTCCAAAATAGCTGTAGAGGTCCTTTTTAATTTAAGTTCCCTGGTCGTGCTCTGCGGGATGGAAGCTCAACATGATCCGACTGCCATTGAGAGGAGCACTGTTAATTTAGTCTCACTGTAGGATCCTCTGACATCTGGCTCTGACACAGAAGCTGGAAAACAACTTTAATATTCTCATGACAGTCCCAGAGACATGTGGAAAACATCCTGAGACTGACTGAAAACAGAAGGTCTGGCTTCAATGTATTTTGGGGTGAAAACAAGCAGTATACTTGTGGTGGCTTGTAAGATTTGCATAAAAAAAACATAATTTTTTTGTCTATTATATGAATGTTTTTAGTTGAAATACTGATTGCATTTAAGGATAATTATATTTTTCCTTTACTTCACAAGAAACAAACTGAAGCAAAGAATCAGCAGTGTGATTTTTCAGGCACTATTTAAAAACATTAGATTGGGTGTCAGCCAAAAAAAAAAAACAACTAAAAATGTACTATTCCTCTTTGTGTGATTATAATTTACATATAAAGAGCAAAAAACATATCCACTCTTACTTGAAACAAAATTTTGGTAAACAAACATGTTTGTGATCCAAAAGACTTTAGGTCCTACAGGACTTTTTATATCCTTTGAAATATCTGTTTTTTTGTTGTTGTTTTTTTTTTTTTTTTTACATCAAACCACTTCTACATATTTGATAGGATTTTCAGTCATAGTAGTATATATATGATTGTGACGCATACATTAAAACAAGAGAAGTAGATATAAAATAATTTTGAAAAAGCAAAATTTGAAAATCTGGTTGAATATGTTTACCCATGGACTTTAAACTGAATGCCAAAATTAAAATCCAGAACAACCCACTGCCTCCATAGGGTCCACTTGTGTGGAGTTTAATCCCATATAAAAAAAAAGCTTGTTGATGAGGGCCTTGGTTTCCCTCATCATTTCATCATTTTTTGCCAACATACCAGCTCTAAATTTGGTATGGCTCAGGATTGGCTTATATGATTGGCTCAGGAACCAGGAAGTAATCAGAAGCCACACACTGATCCCAAGTAGTTCCATACAGCATCTCCAGCTTTGAAAAGAGCAAAACTTTACTAAATCATTGTTAATGGAGAGGACCTATTCTAGTGAATGTTACTTCCATCCCTGATAAAAGGTAAAAATGATTTGGTTTTACTGAAAATTTCTTACCTACAGTTTGTTAACAAAGCAGATGGAAGGTGCTATGGTCAAGGGAGATAAAAGTTTAAATTGTCACAACATTATCCTGATCCTACCCTTAGTTGAACATGGTGGTGATATAATCATGCTGTGGGGCTGGTTTTCTTCAGCAAAAAAGGGGAGCTGATGGTTTGATGGATTGAGATTAAAAAAGGATAATTCTGGAAAAGAAATTATGCAAAAATGTGTTCAGGATTACATGTTAACATCAAAGACTGTTCAAAATTTCAATTAGGAGACCAGATAAAGAACAAATTGAAGATTACAACCCCATACCTTATTTCTTACACATTTTTTCACCATCTTTGATTTATTTTCACTTCCCAATTATGCATCTCTATATGCTGGTATATTACATAACAATTAGACCAAATACAGTGCAGTATTTCTAATTAAGTAATTATTATTATGGCTGTACTGTAACAAATTTTTAAGGTATAAATACTTTTTTAAATAACTTTACCTTAACAGGAACATTATAAAATGCAACAGTTATTGGTTTTCTTGAAGTTTTCATTCACAGAGAAGTGTCACATTGACAAGTCTGGAGATCAGGAGGGTTTAAGAAGAAATAACATTCTCCCTGCTGTGGCAAGAAGAGAATCCCTGTGGTTGAGGGCAGAATCGACTTGTAAAAACATGAAAAATCAGGAGGATCAGTAACACATAAAATGCTCTGTTCAGTATTTATAATATTCCTCTCTTAGGAAAAAAAAAATCATAATTATGCGGTGCTGGCATAGGGGATGACTAAGCCATAATGTGGGGACTTTTCTTTGCCCTCTCATCTTCAGCATTGCAGCCCACAGTTCTCTGAAATAGCTGTAAAACATGACCACAGGCTTGGCAAGGTGCAGGGCAGCAGACAGAACAATCAAATAGAACAAGGTTGTTTCTGGATTTAATATGATGTGGAGTTTTCTTGGACGTGCTGAATGTCCCTGTTGTCTGTCCTTGCAGATGGGAGTCTCAGTGGTGGATTCAGCAGTGGCAGGCCTTGGTGGATGCCCTTATGCACAGGGTTCATCTGGCAATGTTTCAACAGAGGATGTTCTTTACATGCTCCATGGCATGGGCATTGAAACTGTAAGTTTCCTTTTACAGTTCACTTTGGCAGGAATGCCATATTTCTTGTCTCAGTAATCCCCCCAAAACCCAAACTCATACAACCTTTCAGACCATATTTACATGAACTGATTGCTCTGCAAATATGCTGCTCTGTAAAAGTTTATTTTTCTAATATCAATGGCTTTACACAACTTGCACGAGAAAGGCCCTGCACACCTGAATGCTCCAACTCTTTTACAATCCCTACCCCTGCTGGTGGAATATTTTTATTGCAGTTTAATTCTTTGGTAAAACTGACTGGGATTTATTTGCAAAATAACCTGTTTGTATTTACCTAAATTTGATCATGCCTTGAGTTTTAAAAAGTTTAAAACATATTTAATGAACGTGGCATCTGTTTCACAGGGAGTGAACCTTGACAGAGTCATAGAAGCTGGTGACTTTATATGCAACGCTTTAGATCGCAGAACAAACTCCAAGGTGGCTCAGGCAAGAGGCAGGACACTTTGAGGATGCCATACCAGCTAATGAGTTAAAACTGTTACTTTCTAAAGTTCTTTTTCTGAAATCCATGTATTTGGAATGGAGGTTTTCTTGCTTTTTAATCTAAAAAGATCACCAAGCACCCACTGTAAGTTTACTTTTTGAATTGAATCTGAATTTCTGAATTTAATTGAATACCTGGTCGTTTATTTATTCCCTATTTATCACAGTTCCGTAACCAGTGGTAAAGTGATTTAATTGAAGTAATACCTCATTACATCTAAAATATGTATTTCTTTCCTGAGTTGTTAATAACAAACCTATAATATATAATATTTTTTTCAACTTTTTCTGTTGTATTTATAAAGTAAATACACACAGAATGGCTGTATGCGCTTATTGGGCCTTTATAATTGGAAAATAAAAAGAATTTCCAGATAGCAGGCACCCTGAACAGGTAGCAATCCCCACCTAGGATGACAAAGACTAATTAAAAAAAACAAATAAAAAAATTTGAACTTTGTTTAACTGCAGGAGAAAGCCAGTTTCAAGAGAACTACTAAATGCACCATAAAAACTTCTTACAAGGCAACAGTGCTACCTGCTACTCGTGCAGCCCAGAATTGTAATACTTTAGGTTCATATTGTCCAAAGATTGATAGGGGTGCCTTCTGTAAATTTTAAACTGTCCTCTGGACCAACCTGTCATGACTCTGCACTTTTTGGTTCTGTTTAATTTTTTTTTGTTTTGCTTTGCATTTTCAGTTATACATTGATTCATGTCTATCTGTATTTTCTTGTTTATTGGTTTCATTTCCATTTTGTGTTATACTAGTTATTTTTTATTTTATTTTATTTGAGTTCTTAGGTATTTCTTGTTTGCCCTCTGTTGCCCTCTTGTGTCTCTTTTTCCCTAGTTCCCTCGGAGATTCCTCTCTCCACACCTGCTCCCAATCTGCTGATTAACCTGCTCTCCCATTTATACACCTCATGTTCGGTTACTGTTGGCTGGTTTCTTGTCATTTCCTGGCTCCCCATGTGTGTTTTATTGGACATCTCCTAGATTTTGGTTTTCTGTATTTGTTATTTTGGGATTTTTGCTTCAATCGCTTCATTTTTTGGGCATTAAACCTACAACAGCTTATCTCTGCCTCCTTCATCTGTGCATTTGTGTCCTCCAAAACCTCCACTCAACCTGACACAACCGCCCTTTACATGTTAATAGTTTTGCAGCCTACACTAAAATAGATTCTTAACAGCCCTTTGCAGCATTACATGATTGCTGAGCAAAGCAATGAAATAACGAATGTGTAGTGGAGTGGGACATTTTTTGAACTGTGGGTCCAGTACCAGTGTTGAAAACCACTGCTTTAATCAACTAAGGACTGTCTGATGGAATTTATAAAAAAAAATTGTATAAAAATGTATTTTTGCTCTAAAACAGATAATAAATTCAGTATATATTGAAAATGTACATCTATTGCTCTAGTTAATGTTTTTATTTTACATACAATGGATGAACATTACTTTTTTGGCATACAAGTTAAATTTGGTAAAATTGCAATCAAATCTAACCATGATATGGTGGCAAAGAGCTGGCAGTTGTGGTGTTCAGTTGTATGCATAATGCATTTTGAAACGTTTTTTTTTTTTTTTTTTTTTTTTTTTTTTTTACAATTAATGGCAATAGTAAGTCATAGATTACAGTATTGTTTCTACAAGTAAAATCTTAAGAACCTGAATTTGGAATAAGAGCTCCTTAAATGTTGATGTATTCAACCTTTTTAAACCCTGGTTTAAATGGTTGCCATCGTGTTACTGATTAAAGTTGATTATTGCTTATTGTTGTCGTCATCCATACTCACTATTACTGTACTGTATTTTTAAAACAGTATTAAAAATATATATAAAAAAAGTGGTTCTGAATTTTAATTCTTCTGTGTTTGTGACAAAATACTGAGATGGATGAGTGCACTATTCTGACTTCTTTAAATAACACATGTATTTGAATTCTTCTGTCTTCAAGCCTGAAGGATAAAGCGCACAATAAAAAAACATTTTTAAGTAAAATATAAAGATGAAAACAGGAAAGAGAGTTTTTCTTTGCCAATCTTGGTATAAATTAGAGCACCTTTTCACACCTCAAACTTAACCTTCTTTGCATCCTTATATTTTATGGAACTAAACAACACTGGGTCTGTAATAATTGTAAGGTAAGTGATACATAGTTTTGAATTTTCTTTTTTTTTAACCTTTATTTTTTTAAAACATTTACATGTACCGGTTTTACATAATGATATGGTCATTAACAGACACTGACCAATGTCAAATGTCTCTGTTACCTTATGTTTTAAAAAGACATCACAAAAAATACATGACCAAAAGACAAATAAGGTTTTTAAATAGATACTATTCTCATATTAATCAATTCCTCATCTGAAAATGGATGCCATAACTACTGACATGGCCATTCATCAAAACCAACAGACCTCACAAGCAGAAGATTGAGGGAATTTTAACAGATTTGTAAAAAATCTTATTTTATCTGGTTAAAAAAAAGTTTAAAAAAAATGTTAATGAGTTCGCTTATAAATGACATAACAGAACACCATGGATGCTAAGGCACCAGGAGATGTATTGATAATCATAAACAGATATTCTAAAGCCAATTTAACTCCATGCTACATTAAAATCAGTTTGCAACTAAAGCAAATTCATTTAGATATGCTTATTTTTATTGAATATGCCCATATTTCTCAACAGTAGGAAATCCATTCCTGTCGGCTCTCTAAATGCTTACTGTGTCTCTTTTTTAATGACCAGCCCCGGCAACTTCAGATTAAACAAAAAACAAAGAACGTTTGATGTCATACTCTGATTTATTTCTTGTATAAGGTAAACTATATTTATTTAATGAATTGAATTTCTAAGTAACAATGACACAGCACATCTACCTCTTATTTCTTAAAAAACACACACAAGGAAACAGTCATGATCAGAATATATAATGAGAACAATGTTTAAGAACTGAAAAAACAGATTATTTTTTTTTCACTTTGTTGTTGGATCTCTGAAATTCATGTATTTATTCTCAATAATTAATTAGATTGTGCCCAACCAGTTTCCCAGTCTTTGTGTTGTAAACAAATTAGTTTGATTTAAATCCCAACCATCACATCTAAATTTTCATGCTTTTAATGTTTCTTAACAAGGCAGAGGAGTTAATGGAAAATAGCTATCCATCCATTTTTTCTGTAACGCTTTATCCCTGCTGGGGTCATGAGGGTTGATGTTGCCTATCTCCAGCTGTCTACGGACAAGATGCGGGGTACACCCTCAGCAGGTCGCCAGTAAATTGCAGGGCAACACAGAGACAAACAGGACAAACAACCATGCACACTCACACCTAAGGAGAATTTGGCAAAGCCAATCAACCTTACAGTCATGTTTTTGGACTGAGGGAAGAAACCGGAGAGAACCCACGCATGCACAGGGAGAACATGCAAACTGCATGCAGAAAGACCCCAGGCCAGGAATCAAACCCGGGAATCGAACCCAACTTTCTTGTTGCAAGTCAGCAGTGCTACCTACAGTACTGTTCTGCTAAGCAGCCCTAGAAAATAGCCAATACAAGAACAAACCTGTAAGAGGCTGAGAAATTCATCTTTGAGCAAGACGACAGAATTAAACACAGCAAATTGAGATAATTCTCATGATAAATTGAATTGTGCATCAATTGCAAAGCTGGCATGCACAGATCCTCTTTAGCCAGTCCTCTACAATAACTATACAGTAGGTGTCTGCTTTGCCTGAGCAACAAAACAGCATGAAAAGCCAGGTTATCCTATCTACAGAGATCATCCGAGTCTTTTGGCCAGTAATTCTGACAATAACATAAACCATTTTCCTTCCTCTTCATAATTATGCATGACCTGCCTTGCTAAATATGGGAACAATCCATAAGATATATTGCAAATTTCGTGTGAACATAAAAAAGTATAGAGGGTTTCAATACTTTTTAATGGCAAAAAAGGTAGAGAATGTATTCTGCAACATGACAAGCAGCTCACTCCAGATACAGTCTACTTAAAGTTGAAAGGATTCTGGTGAAAGATGCAGCACTCTACACCACTGGTTTTTAAACATTGTCTCAGCTGTCCTTTTTGTTTTATGTGTTTCCCTGCCTCCATACACCTGACTTAAATCAGTGGGTGATTAGCAGGCCTATGCAGCCCCTGGTGGCTGCTGAGAAGGGAATGCAATCATTTGATGCAGGTGTGCAGGAGCAGAGACAAATGTAAAACACACAAGACAGTGCATCCTTAGAATAGAGTTTGAAAACCACTGCTCTACACATCCCCCAGCCAAAAACTACAAAGTGATGTAGATAGCTTCAAATAATATAAAGGCTTTTCTTATTCCAATACAACTTAAATGCTACATCAAATCAGACATTTTATATGCATAGAACATCCAAACTTTGTTCCATTAATCATCACAAAAGTACAAAACATAGGAGTGAATAACAGCTGTTTGATAAACTGAGCCACATTATATATCAAGATATACAGAAACAAAACACCATGGATATATATATAACATTATAAAACACAATGGTTTGCTTTTTTTGGATGATTAAGTTCCTTTTTATTCCTCCTTTTCAACCTAAAAGTCAAAATAATGAAAATTATTTTTTGTTGATGCAACATCAGAGAAACATCAGATTTTTTCCTTAATGACATAGAAAAATAGGACATACCAAATCTTACTGACAAAAACCAGAGAGGAAAATATGACTACTCCAGCAAGAAACAGAGCTGAAAAAAGATGCAAAAGGAAACCTAAAAGAAAACAAACCTATATGAAAACTTCCTAATATTTAGTCTTCTAAATATTTTGTATGCAGAATTATTAAAGATGAGAGAATAGCTAAAAGGGACTTACCATATGACCACATATGAACTTGCTCAGACTCATTGATTTCGGGTGATTTCGAAGTACAATTGCTGCTTTCCTCTAATTTTACTGTAAAACAAAGAATATATATTAAAATTCCTCTAATTATTTGAAACTATTATTTGAATGGCTTCTAAGAAGTTAAAACCCTGCTTACTGAAGTGCAGTCTGTTATGAAATACTTCAAGAATCATGTTGCACATCTGAAGATGATCATTGTGGACTCCTTTGCATGTGCAAGGGTGGTGAAGCACTGTGCCCAGGGTAGCCAAGAAGGCTCTTTTACACTCAGAGTTTGCACCGAGGATAAGAGCTGGATCCTTTAGAGTGAAGCATTCATTTTCTTGGAGATTTCTTTCATTGCATAGTGTTTCATCGTGGTTCCAGCATTTAACTTGGAGAGTTTTTAAGAGGTTTCTGATGAATCAGAGAGAAAAGAAAAGTCATACAGCTATTAAATGTTAGCAGTGATTCTACACTCTTAACTGTTATTCTGCTCCAAGAAATTAGTCAAGCTTAATTAAAAAACATTTTCTCTCCTTGAAGAACACAGAACATTGCTGCAGACTCATTCTTATATCATTCACTTCTCTTTAAAGATTGAAATAATAACTTAAACTAAAAAAAAAGTTTAATAATTCATTTTCTATACATGCTTTACCTTGGAGCTGCATGGTCACAGGTGGCTAGGGTCAATTCCACTTATTACCACGGAAGTTATCTTCAAAGCAGGAGCAATTTGTTATAGGCCTACACTGAGCGAAACTGCACAGTTTTTTGCATATGTGCCTTCATTAAAATGCAGAACAAATTGTGACCATACCTCACAAATGTATGGGTGGATGATTTGCAAATGTAAATTCTTGCCACATGAAAAGCAATTTATAAATCATTAACGGATTGCAGGCTAAGTTTTTGTTTCTGTTTTCGGTACTTTTGAAAGTCAGGGGAAACTTTTACATAAAACCTGCAGTCCTTGTGGCAATAAGGAGGCATTGGTACAATGATTGAGTGAGTAAGGTTAAGTGGCATCTCTTAATTACCTAGGTGTGAGACTGCCAGTGTGTGCATGGTTGTATGTCTCTGTGACCTGCGACAGACCTGCAACCTGTCATGGTGTACCCCACCTTCGCTCATAGACTGCTGGAGAAAGGCACCAGCCGCATCGCGACCCTGACAGATAATTGGGACAATATGGGTGGATGGATATTTCTTGAGGCTAGAGATCGACATTTGAAAGAAAGAAATACTATCACAGATCTAAAACTATTTTTATTGTTAAATATGGATCTACTTCAATATGTCATCAAATGTGTAAACAGTGCTTTGCTTGAATCTGAATCACGAAATAAAATTAACATCTTGGTTAACCAGATGAAATGTCTGGCTCCCCCGCTATGTATGTCAACATCAAAAAAGAAAAATACATGATTGTAAAGTGAGAATATTCTCATCAGTGCAGAAAGTTTATCTGCATAGCATAAGCTTTGATTTAGTAATATTATCAGGCAATGTCTACACTTTATATTGTTACTCTTAGTTCTGACAGCCAGGCAATAAAAAGTATCAAGATCTAATTCAGACCACAAAAATTCAAGGCATGCAAAAAAATAGATGGACAGATAAAATAAGGAAGATCTTTGTTAGAAGCATGATGAAGTATTGTCTTAAAATTTTAACAATTTACCTAACAACAGTAAATGAATGTCTTACTTAATTGAGATATTACTATATTACACCATCAATTATAGCAATGTTGCAGGTAAATAAAAAATCCATATATATGTATATATATATATGTATGTATATATATGTATGGATGGATTTTTAATTTACCTAGAAATTGACAACATCAAAGCAGTACAGTACAAAGCAGAATACAATCATCTGACTTAATGGAAACATTAAAACTCAGCTTGCCCCTAGTGATCTGACCAAAAGAGCTGAACATTTTGATGTCATGTCACTGCCATATACTTGTGAAAAGAGGACTAAACAGCAACGTGAAAAGGCGACATGCATGTGTGCTACTCAAGCATTGTGAGAAGCTGAACAGAAAGTGCCCACTTTCCTCCAGAATTGCACAAAGGAGCTAATAATCCTCTTCTCCTGTTACAGATAGCCGGTTGTCAAATCAACCACTACACTTTATCTCCCTGATTTTCTTCTTCCAACAATCATGACTGTCACTTCCTAGTTTGAAATATTGCTATTAAAAGCCCATTTTCCTTTCAGATTTAAAGATATGAAAGAAATCCTGAAAGAGATAAAAACCAAAATGGCATCTTTAAAAGGTTTTTAACAATAATAGTCATCTTGGCTTTCTGCAAAGACATTAACAGGGATCGCTGATTTGTTTTATCATTTTCACAGTCAAAGGGATATCTAAGAGAGATGCTATGTATCACAGCAGTTAACCTCTCCTTTTCATGTGTACTCCCTCACTTACATTATTTGAGAGCCTTTTACCGGCCTGTCAGCCTGAGTGAACGAACCTATTGTCTTCAGACACTGAAACCAAAAGTTTCCCTTAGATTTCTTCCTGATCTTGGTTGACTGGCTTCCTTTTAAATCTCTTCTACTTTAATCTCTGCTGCCAGATCTTCATTACCTTACTGTTGGCCTCCTTAGTTGGTAATGAGTGGATCCACAAAATCCTGCTGAAAGATCTATTAGGTCTTGACAGGTAATTGCCAATATCAGATTGAGTTTTTCCCACTAGCTTTAGTCCATGCATAAATGTTTCAGTTTATCAATATAGACACTTTTTACTGTAGAACTGAGAACAGCCTACCTGCACTTACTGTCCTGAGCACACTGAGTGAGCCTTTCTTGGCAGATTCTTGTCTCTGCTCCACATGCCCCACTCTGGAGACCGGTTTTCATGAGCAGACAACTCTGATCTGAATCATCACATTTGCACATCACCAGCATTTCTGCACACTGTAGGGGCATGCCTCCATAGAACTGCTGAATTTCCTGCCGACATCTTCCACTGTCGCACCGATCAGTCATGCATGCCTGAAGAACAGGTGTGAGGTGCCTGTTGCAGACAGACTCACTCACACAAAGACCAATTCGGTCCACACAGGATCCAGAACGATCATATGCTGCAAGAAAAAAATGATGTGCAATTAATGTACAGCAGGGGAAATAAGTGATGGATGTGAAATTATATTTCCAGAAGACTGACATATCTGATGTCAATATCAAATTGACACCAGATCTCTGTACTCATCCAAGTATACAAAAAACACCAACCGAAATCAGCCCATGCTTCATATGACATAAAAGGACAAATGTATTTCTAAATATTGAGCTTTGAATGGAATGGAAATGCATTATTGATTATAAAGACCACCTGCAGAGTACTTTATAAAGACCTAGAAATATCAGGAAATGTTGTCAGCGAAAATTATGAGCAATGCAATCAACAACACTGACTTTTATCATTTTTCACAGTATAAGACTCCACAGATGGGAAAAAAAAAAGCTAGTATAAGACTCCACAGATGGAAAAAAAAGCTAGTTGACTGTAGTTTACTATGGAATATATAGACAAAGTTCAGAGTGGACATAATTAAACTCAACTGATGTCAATGCAGATAGGATTAGAGGGAAATATAGTAAATTACCTGAAAAACAGTATATGTACGTAAAGCTTGGGGTGGGGACATGATGTATAGTATAAAGCCCCAGCATACTTTGTATAGTTAAGGAAAGGAAAAAAAAATGAACTGGGGAATTATTTAGAATCTTAAGAATTTAAAATAATAAAATAAAGATACTTATACATGTTGAACAATCCTATCTTCTAAGCACAAATGAGAAGTATTGTCACTATCCAAACAAATGTTTGATAAATATCAGCAGTATCAAAAATTGACCATTTTTCTTTAGGTGCCAAATATTCAGACAACTATTGTGAAGTTCATATCGCTGAGCCTGAAAGATATAAATCTACTGCAAATTTCCACTAATTTATTAAGTTGAAATCAAATGAATAATTTTCACCGTTGTCCACTAAAGTACTTGATTTCCAGTCAATCACTGGGATCCTCCTCTGCTGATTTCCTGTTTAAAAAAAGAACAAAGGATTGGTTTGCAATCAACACTTAAATCTTGCCCTATCAACCCGTTTTTATATACATTGCTCAAAAAATAAAGGGAACATCTAAACAACACAAAATAACTACAATTAAATTAAACTTCTGTGAAATCAAACTGTCCACTTAGGAAGCAACACTGATTGTCAATACATTTCATAGGCTGTTGTGCAAGTGGAATAGACAACATTTGGATATTATTGGCAATTAGCAAGTCACACTAAATAAAGGAAAGGTTCCGCAGGTGGAAACTAGCCTGATAAACCAGACTAAATGTGAGATTAAATGTGTAATTTAGTCTTGTCCCAATGAATGAGACATTGGAAGATTGTTGATGAGAACAACCCGTTGTCTTTCAAACCATGTCTGTGCCTATTGGCCAACGCTCTGACCATTGAGCGCGACAGAAAGCTGGTGGGGGAGTGTAAACAAACAGCCTGTTGGTAAAACAGTGAATGTGTCTTTCTTAAAAATTAATGAGCATAGAGCCTTTCCTGCTCACGTTTCAACGAAAACCCTTCCAAAACTGATCCCAAAGCGGAGTCTGTTCAATAGTTGTTGCCATCTTCCTTGTTGTGCTTTCTCCAGCGTCGGGCAGCTTTGCGTCCCGCCCACAAAAACCTGCCCGTTATGCATCCAAAAATTGAAAACACATCTCTGCTTTGTGATTGGCCTGGCTGTTCTGGGGTATTGATCTAGACTAGACCAAACTCGCAGGCAAAGATGTTTCTGGCCGCTGGCGGGTGGGGCTAGTTTACTAGGCTAGGTGGGAACCACAGACAACTTCTCAGTACCTATGTTTTCTAGATATTTTGGGTCACTTTTCAATGCTGGTGGTGCTTTCCCACTAGTGGTAGCATGAGACGGACTCTACAACCCACAGAAGGTAGTGCAGCTCATCCAGGATGACACATCAATGCGAGCTGTGGCAAGAAGGTTTGCTGTCTCAGTCAACGTAGTGTCCAGAGGCTGGACACTCTACCAGGACACAGGCCAATACACCAGGAGACATGGAGGAGGTCGTAGGAAGGCAACAACCAAACAGCACGACTGCTACCTTCGCCTTTGTGAAAGGACGAAGAGGAGGAGCACTGCCAGATCCATGAAAAATGACCTCCAGCAGGCCACAAATGTGCATGTGGATGGCATTAGGACCCAAAGGTCCAGAGATGGGGGTTTTGCTCAAGCTCATGTCTCGATCCATCCACTATTGTCACCAAAGACTGTCCAGGAGTTGGCGAAAGCTTTAGTCCATGTCTAAGAGGAGATCCCTAAGGAGACCATTCCCCACTCATCAGGAGCATTCCCAGGTGTTGTAGGGAGGTCATACAGGCACATAGAGGCCACACACAATACTGAGCCAGACTTTTGACCTGTTGTAAGGACACTACATCAAAGTTGAATCAGCCTGTAGTGTGTTCTTCCACTTTAATTGCGTGTGTGTGACTCTAAATCCACGCCTCCATCAATAATAAATTTGAATTGCATTGATCATTTTTGTTAAATTTTGCTGTCAACACATTCAGCTTTGTACAGAACAAAGTATTCAAAGAACATATCTCATTCAATCTAGGATGTATTATTTGAGCGTTCCCTTTATTTTCTTAACAGTGTATTTAAACAGCCTTTGTAAACAAAACCATAATTTCAGACAATATTTAACCAAAGTACTAATGAGAACTCAGCACCTGGCTTTTGGAGGCATTGTGTGGCCAGTTCTTGTATGGAGTCACAGAGCTCCACCTCCCATGTACACACACACCCTTGCAGTGATGGAAATTGGTCCAGTACAGTCTGGATGGTCAAGTTACAGCCCCCTGAGCCTTTTATTTGGCACCTGTCACCTTGAATATCACAAACAGCAGAGTAAAGCAGATAAACAGGGTTTTCATAAGCTGGTGCAACAGGTGTTTTTACCTCATCTTCCAGCTGCTTTACACTTGTGCAAGTTTTAGGGGTTTATCATACTGTTTAAATGGATCTTTATAAGGATCTAACATTATTCAGAACTAATGTCAACTAGAAAAAAGCTAAAGGAGATCTTTTATTTCCTGTAAACATTACATCATATTTAGAAACTATGGTTGAAAGTTGAAACTATAACAAATCGTAAGATTATTGAGATAAACATGCATCCAGTAGTGTTATAATAAAAAAATGAAAAAATAAAACAGCTGTAACGCTGATATTAAAATTTTCAACTCTATATACCACAAAAAGACCTGAATTTTATATAAATCTAAGATATTTTTACCACCAAAGATCAAGTGTTAAATGAAGGCATATTTTGGAATTTACAACTATGCAAACAAAAAATATTCTACCCACGTCTCCTATTTAAAGCCACAGTCAGTACATTTTAGTCAGATCTTAAACTTATAGCTGATAGGTTTTAAGAAAGTCTATTTTTATAAATAAGAAAGTCAGCATGGCAGACATGCTGCAACATACCTTCCTGCAAAGACGCAAAATGAGAGTAGCCATAAGTATATTGAATTACGAGATTCAGAGACCATATTTTTAAGCTGATTAAACGTCTTACAGCATCTTTTTTTGCTAGTAAAAGCAAAATACTCTGAACTAATCAAATAAATTGTAATTAAAGTTTAATAATTTAATAAAAGTCTTTAATAAAGTTTATGTTATAAAAACTGCTTTTCCTAAACAGTCTCTTATTTTAGTCTTTTGCGCTTATATATCTTATGTTTCTGTGTATCTGTATTGTTAATTTTCTGGTCACTTTACTACTTCAACAATAACTTTGCTAATCTTATTTTGATTATCTATTAAAAATTACTGGCTACAACAACATCAGGTTTTTGATTCTTAAAATTCAAATTGATTGTCTTAACCTTAAGATTAAAAGTACAGTGTATGATTCACTGCTGCTGAACATGTTTGCTGTGCAAATATAGCTGCACACCCATTACTACTTTTATTTTGAAAATAATCTTTACCCTCACAGTTGCCAGCAATATATGCCCGCTCACAGCTGCATAAATCTGACATGCAGGTCTCGACTGAAGCCAAACATCCATAAGCCTGAGTGGAAATCCTTATACTCTGTATCTGAAGTAGAACAATTCCTGCAATACACATTGCATCAAACATTTAGTTTTAGTTTCAATAATGAGTCTACGTAATAATAGATTCATCAAAAACTTAATGCTGGTTTAGTAAACAAGATGTACTGTTATTAATAGACGTATTTGTTCACATATAAATATATATATTTTCATATCATATAATACAAACCAAAGTTAATTTTTCAAAATTTCCAAATATCTTGTTGAAATGTACTCACCTAAAACAACTGCAAACTCAGGATGCATCAGCTGCATGTTGGCTGCTCTGAAGGCAAATGATTCCTCCACCTGATCCCTCCCTATCTGCAGAGTGGCAGCTTAAACAGTGATTCACCACCCAGAGTCAACAGGATGTAACACAAATATTATTATGTGGATTCTACAGTATTGGGAGCTTTGAGGATGATCAGTTTATGACTTGGTGCTTTACTACATGCACATTTTTTACACTTTGCTTCTTTCTCATCTTCTAACTTTCACTCTCAAGACTTTTGGTACCTTGCAAGGGCATTTTCCCAGTTATTTTTTTTATTTTAGTTATCCTTTGGGTACTTTTAATAGTTTATATTTCTCTATAATCTTCAGAATCAATGATTCTGTCAGTATTTTATCTTTTTTTTTTAAAGCTGTCTCTGTGTTGTTTCTGCTAATCTCATTTTATTCATTACATCAATCGGTTTGATGTAATGAAGCCATAAAAATGTAATTGCCCATAAAAACTACTTATACTACTCAAACTTTTTTACATTTTGCTAGATTGAAAAACAAAATAGTTTTTTGAATCTTCTAAAAGGCTTGTTCTGACATCTATTTATTGTCTCAAAGACTCTTACCAGATTCCATGCATCCTCTGAAGGAAATGCACTATATGCTTCCATCAACATATTTAACAATGAAGAACCCATCTTTCTGTCACAGACTGGTGACAGAAAACTTAGTGTTTTATGTCTTTGAAACAACTAAGCTCCCCTTTCCAGGTTTTATCTATCCGTTAAGGAAACTGTAAATGGGAAATGACCATGATTCTTTCCATAATGGCTTTTTTGCTGAGAACTTCTTTGTGGATGCCAAATCTGAAATGTGCAAAACTTACATTCCTTCTGTAGACTGAGTCATCTATCGGAGTTGCAGATCTCCACTGATTCTGCAGTAAAATGTGATGGAGCGCCACTAAACGTCCATCCCTTGTTTTTGTTTTCTCGCTTCACTGTAAATATTGTCACTGTTTCACTGTTTCCACCTGGGGAGCAATAAAAGAAAAGCACAAACGATATTTTTCGGCTGGGCCATCATTTTTGTTTTTATTTTTTGGAACGAACAACATAAAATGAGCCTCTAATCTGTTTCTCTACATGCCTAATCTGTCACTTTAATTGGAATGCTAAATCCTTATAGGTTGGTAATTGTGCAATACTCTTTCCGATCTTTGATGATGGATTAAGCAGTGCTTCATGATGAGATGTCTAAAGCTTGGATTCTTTACCGGTGTTCCCTATTGAACATCTCAGACCTTTACAGAATGGCTGTATTATTGCTGAAAATATAGTAAACACAGGTAGATGTATTCTGAAGCTTGTTCTTAGCTTTGGGTAAAATATCTTTATGATTGTTACATAAAAACATGAAGAAAACATAGAGACATGAGTATTTTCTTACATTTGAAATTGAAATCTCTATAAACATAAAGGTCTATGTTGTAGTTTGTGGGGTTAATTGCAGCCAGGACAAATTATCTTACATTGTACTGATTAAATGAGGATCTAAGAATGTACTGATCAAATGTTAATGTATTCACCATAAAGCAAAGAAAAACAATAACATCTAAGACACACATCAAATTCTGCAGCTGGTACCATGCAGTGGCCATGCTGTGCAAGCAAACAGAATGATTATGAAGGATTCTGCAAAAACACGAGTCATTGATTGAAAGAACATTCTAATTACAACGTAAATCACCTTAATGAAACTACCAGTAAGGTGCAGTTTATGGGCTGCAGCAATGTGTGATTTTCTGTCTGGTTACTCTGAAAGTTTCTTAAGTTTTCTTATTTTATTATCTTATTCCGTTAAAACAATTAACTGTAGTTAGAATATTATGGTTTTAAAGTTGTATGCATTTACTATAATTTCAACTCCCGCATTTCAGTTGTTAGTTTGGTCATTCTCTCTGCCAATAATGATTTTTTTATTTATTTCTATTTTTGTCCACTAGGACATCTACTGATACTTTTCTTTGCCAGATCACCCTTGTAAAAAAAACTGAAACACTATTGTTCGACATATATTCTACAGGATCAGCTGGAACAATAGAAAGACAAAATGAGAGTCAACCCTAAACTGATTTGACAGGAATATTACACACTGAAAAATTATTTATTGTCCAAGCACATTACATTTAAGATCCTCACAATGTTAGACTTCCATGAAAAATAGATAAAAAGTCATAAAGCAAATTAACAATCACTTCAGCGCTGTATAAATCACACACAATAGGAGAAAATGAAAAACACAACACAACTTTTTAGATTTATTACAAAACTGCACTTGCAGGAATGAGGCAGGAAAGTTGTGACTTAAAGAAATCAAGCTAAAATATTAAAACACCTCACATTAATGTCAAAATTTAAAACAGTGATGAAAATCCAGACAGTTTTCAACACGATCATTAAAATCTTCATAAAAAAAATAAAAAATTCACAGCTTTAACATTGCAAAATCATAAACCACAATAAATATACATATATAAAAAGCTAATAAAATTTCAATCATCTTCACAGTTGATTTTTATCAAAGAAAACCTCAAAGGGTTTAATATGCTGAACAGAAATCATGCAAGACCTCTGAAGAAGCTAATTTTCCTCTTTGTTTTCTTTGATTACATGACTTGATTTGGTTTTTCTTTCAGTATAATTCCCTCTTGTAGAGAAATTAATTTCCCATTTTTTTACTTTTTTGTTTCACAGATGCAGTGATTGCTTTACAAAACAACGTTGATTATGCAATACTTGATTTAATTTCTATTCAGGTTGTTTTCTTAAATTATTTTGTCAAGTTTTTGTTAAACAAGTTGTATTTGAATACATCATTCATCAGTTTTTTATTTTTATTTTTTAAACTTATTATTTCCAGACAAATATCTTCTTATGTCTGGTAATTATACAAAGACAGGTTTCAAGTAGGCGGTAGAATTGTTGTCCTTAAAACACAATGCTATACCCAGTCTGTGGAATGTCTATTATTATTTTTGAAATCTAGGATTTTACTTACTGCCATATACAGTATATACTCTCCGGCCTTTTCAGATCCTTTTGACAATTAGCAGTTTTCCTCAAGACTTTCTTTTTGTTTCAACCTAGATTTAATGTTTACTCAGATTTTCTCTATTTTTTTTATTCCTCGTTTTTGCTTCAGTTCTTTAAAAAAAACTATTTCCTTACCTATCATTTGGAAACTGACCCTTCCAAGCTCAACTGCAGTATTTTGAGTTGGAATGATTGGAAGATGGAATGGTGTTTTCATGATTATTTCCAATATTAGTTTGCTATCATATTTTGCATGTATGCCTAAAAATGAAAGCCTGACCAAAACACTTCAGTTGACTGGTTGTAGATGACAGGCGAAGGATTTTTTCCTTTAGTAATGGCTTTCAAACCTAATCTTGCATTAAGCATTTACACATTCATGCAGTATCGATAACTTGTTTTCTGAGGGCCTTTGTATTGATAATGCTTGTGATGACTTTACAGATATCCCCTTATTTAAGCGAGAATAAATTGGACACATGTAGACACAACATAGAATAAAGTGATTTTTAAAGGGACAGTGTGTAACATTTTTATTTTTCAATTGCAAAAATCAGGTATTTATTTAATAAATACATATTCTGCAAAAATGACACCGACCCCACAGCAACCCTGACGGAATAAGCGGGAGAACATAGATTGATACTCTACAAAAGTTTAATAGCAGCCACAAAAATGAAATTGGTCTCATTACAGAATGAGTAGTTCATAAACACATAGGGCGTGTGGGAGATTTGATGTGGTGTTGCTAATTTTGATCAGGGTAGCCGTAAAAGGGGAATAATTCGTCAGCATTACAGGTTTGACCTGTATCTGAAAACATATCATTGATGAGTTTAAATCAAGCAAAAACAACCATAGATCATTCTACCTTCCACTTTCTGTTGCAGTGGACGATTACCCGTTCTCTTTTTTCAGCAAGTAATAAGAAAGGTAAACAAGTCTAAATTAGAGCAGTTTTTCCAGGCTGGAGACAATTTAAGATTGAGTGGGAAATTAAAATGGATGCAGAGGTTGCAGACTGGATGGGTAAGGTAATGTAATATAACAGAGACATTTTTTCTAAAATTATGTAAAAAAAAAAAGGACAGGGCAGTCCTGCAGCAAGTCTATGCACACAGCGGAGACGGCTCGTTTAAATTTTTTGGTGCACTGAATGAGCTCAGATGCTACAGTTATCAGTTGCTATTTTTCACATAAGTCATACTAGCTAAAGAGTGTTTGCTTTTTTCATTCTTTTTTTTTATTGAAATTTTCCACGTGTTTCATAATTTATGATGAAGATTGATGTGTTACATCAATTCAGACAGAGTAGAATGTCCATAGTTAGTCTAATATGCTTTATGGGGAGGCATAATTTTATTAGGGCACCACGAGATGGAGGTAAATTATACTCGCTGTCTCTTTAAGGAAATTAGTTGTACTTGATGTTATTCAAGAGTAAAAACATCATGGGGGCAGAAAACAGCTGCATGTCACAACTTACAATGTTTAATTGTACTGTGAGTTCGTCAAAAACTTAAATTTCCAATAAAACAAATTGAGCTTTGTGGTATCAAAGGGATCAAGTGTAAAAGTTCAATGGGTGTAAATACTTATTAAATACTCATGCAACAAAGTATTTCTGTCTTGTTTTTTCTTATTCATTTGAAAAATGTTTCTTTGTTTAGCAGCAAAAAATGTACTACAGTATCTGCAGGTCACTTTCGTATGATCACTCATTATGTCAGTAAAACTCCACCAACATAACTTAAATCATTGAAATTAGATTTTCCATAATATAGTTTAGAGCAGTTTAAAAGGCGCACTTTAGTGGTATTAGTAAACACATAGCATGTGGAAGTTACATTTTTTACTCCCACTTATACTGCTGATCTTTTACCCTGACACCATTTCTCAAATTCATTTTGATCTTACTACTTATAAATGGCCTTTTACGGGTAAAATTCATAAAGATTCCCTGAGCAACAAGAGACTTATACTTTTCGGAAGCAACTCCTCCACCACTGTAGAAACAGATAAATACATTAATTGCTGTAAACAAATATATATCTGTACAGCGAAAATGGTTTTAACACACAAAGAGAAGAGAACTCTTCTATTTATACTAAAATACATAAACATTAAATGACTTCTGCATGATTTATGGCAGATAGATTTTTTTTTCAAGGAAAATGATTTTATCACAAACTTTGAGAAGGTTCATAACATCTGATTTTTTTTTGTGTGCAAAATCTCGTCTTTTGTAGCAGCAAGTCCTTTAGAAAAAAAATACAAGTTTGCACATTCCATATGGTGAGTGTTAATGAACCCCATTTCCTTGCAGGGATGGCATAAAAGTTCTCTGACCGTAGAGGACTACACAATCTGATCCGATAACCGTGACAAGTTGTCCACATTAACTTGAGTTGACATGGATTTTCGGCTATCTCTATTTGCTCTGGTCCTTATCCTCATATTGTCGTCCTGCTGTTGCCCACAACAAGTGCAAGAAAATGCAGATTTAAACTCCTCACGGAACTTCCCTGGAAAAAAAGAAAAAAATATTTTTATGTTTTCTTCTTTAGATCATGAAATTACATCAATGGGAAAACTATAATATCCACACAGTATGTATGTAGCTCATTGACAGTGATACTTTTAGATAGGATCCTGTGAAACTATTGCTAGGTTGGTATTTAGTAGCTGCATCCTCCAAAGGCCAGATTCGTTGTCTGATTACATCACAGCGCAGCGCCATGGCCTGTTCGATTGGAAGACTTCTCGTTATGCGGACAAATGCAGCTTTCTTCTTGCCCATTTTGAGGGATAGGTCAGTGTATCCTACGTAGCCTTGGATATCCCATGATTTATTGTGAGTCCAAGCAAGCGGGCTACTCCATGTTCAGAGTAAAAAGGCAAATGGCGGTAAACAGTGGTGCATATTGTAGGTGCAGTTTAATATAATGAAATTAATGAAAATAGTTGTTTTAAATGGATACTGAGTCAGATATGTGGCGGGTAATGTTTGGTTTATTGAAAAGTTTTTATCTGTCCCAGTGCAAATAGGTTTAGCTGACATTTAAGCACATTTTCCAATATCTCTGCAGTGAGGGAACTACAATCTGATGTCTGTGACAAAGGTACTGCTGCTCAAGCTCCTCAACCATAATTAGCACACACAACAGTAGTAAGAAGTTTGGCATCCATATCCCAGCTTGTGTGTCGACTATCATGGTTGCTAGGTAACCGAGCGTACGCTGAGTGAAGGGTGATAAAAGCCCGATAAAGCTGGACCTTGTTGAATCCATAGCTAAACTCTTCCGGCCAACCTTATTTTCATGGACCTTAGCCACTGAAATCTAAAACACCCTATCTCTCCTCATATGTCACTTAAATAGGTTAATAATGTGTAAAAAAAAAATATATATATATGTACAAATACAGCCATTCTCCTGGATTTGTTTCTGTTTAAGATGTGGAGTCTCATTCAGCATGGTTTAATCTACAAAACCAAAACATAAGCTTTTAAACATCAGACTGGCCAATAATTAATTGATCATCAGAAAAGGTAAAGAGTATGATACAATTGTTAACCAGTCAAGATATTGTCATTGACCTAAACTGGAAAGCCAGATAATGACTGCATTGATTGAAGACCACAATTGGAACTTGAAGAACCAATAGAAACCAAACATCCTATGAGGGAAACCATTTCAACTCATTAAAGAGCTCTAAAGAAAATACATGCTCTGGGTTGTTTTTACACTGAAAGAGGTCTCTAAAACAAAGCTTAATATTTATTCAAGCCTTTTTATATTTCTGTACTAAAAGAGCATAAAAGAGCAATCCCATACTTTATTTAAATTATTACTGTCACATATCAAGTGTGAAAGCCACAATCTACAGGCTGGCCTCACCTTGACTACTCAACCCTGATGACATTTATTTATTTATTTGTTATTATTATTATCTTTTTTTTTGTTTAAACACAGGTCTGATCTGTAGAAATCTGTATGAAAAGGCTTACATTTCTTAAAGCCATAGTGATTTATTTTTGGCAACATAATCAATAGTATTCTGGTTGCAAAAAAAAGTGATGCCCAGGACAGAATTAATAGAAGAACTGCCACTATGTTGGCTGTTAAGATATCATGTTAAAATGGTTTGAGCTAAATAGAAGAAAAACAGCAATAAGCTACAAAAGAATTGAATCATTTTGTGCTACAAATAATCATCACATCTATGTTAGAATGTATACTGTAGATATAGCTATATGTACAGATACACTGCACATAGCACACACACATAAACAACACAGTATAACTTCTATCTAATCAAGCTTCTGTAAAATCAAACTGGCCACCTATGAAGCAACACTGATTGACAATCAGTTTCACATGATGTTGTGAAAATAGAACAGACAACAGGTGGGAATTATTGGCAATTAGCAGGACAGAAAATAGGTAAAAGAGAAAAAAAGTTCTGTGGGTTGGAACCACAGGCCACTTCTTAGTACTATGCTTTCTGGCTTATATTTTCTGACACTTTGAAAGTTAGTGGTGCTTTCACACTTCTGGTAGCCACACAAGTGGCTGAGGTAGTGCAGTTCATTCAGGTGACAAGAAGGTTTGCTGTTTCTGTCAGTGTAGTGTCCAGAGGCTGGAGGCGCTACCAGGAGAAAGGCCAGTACACCAGGGGACATGGGAGGCCTTAGGAGGGCAACAACCCGGCAGCAGAACTGTTACATCCACCTTTGTGCAAGAAGGAACACGAGAAACACTGCCAGATGCCTGGAGTTTTTTTTTTTTTAATTTAAGTTAGACTTTTTTTTTGTGATTTTTATTTTTAATTTTTTTTGTCAGCAAAACCAAGTATTCAATAAGAGTATTTCATTCAGATATAGGATGTGTTAGTTGAGTGTTCCCTCTATTTTTGAGCAGTGTATAATGTCAAATATTACTTAGCAATATTTGTTTTTAAGAATATGTGATTATTGTAACAGATCTTAATTCTTATTGAGCTGGAGCTATTTTGTAAAACAGATTTGGCAAAAAATATTGATCTCTAAATGTGCAAAGATGATGTGAACATACTGTAAAGACAGAAACAACACAAAGAATAGATAACTTTATAAATCATTTAGGAGGCGCTATATATATATATATATATATATATATATATATATATANATATATATATATATATATATATATATATATATATATATATATATATATATAGCTTTTTTATATAGCTTTTGCTGATAATGTGAACAAATCTGTGAACAAATGTTTAATGGTTTTGTCACTCTAACTTTATATCCCACTCAATATTTTATGTATGTTTCTACATTCCTAATAGATAAAAGCCATGTTGGTACAGGGGATATGGCATTCAACTTAATGAGAAAATAAAGATGATTAAATATAGCATAAGTACAATTGTGCTTACTCTGTAAATATTAGTATTATTGATATTAAACACTAGAGGGCAGTATTAAACCTGCTCTTTCGTGAATGCATTGTAAAAGATATGGGAGACTAAAAAACTTACCACTCAGAAAATTGTAGATGATGGGATTTGCGGCACTGTTGGCATATATTAACCAGTGTGAAAAAGTAAACCATGCATATATTGTTTCTCTGTCACTTGTGTTCTTAAAGGTCCCAAAAACCCTGGAGGTAAAGAAGTAAGGATTAAAATATGCATAGTAAATATTTTTGCATGCATTAAATTGTAAAAAAAGGCCATCTTTCTTGTATTCAAACAACTGCATCAGAAACACAAATTAGACAAGAAATATACATAATAGCAATGGAGATGGATAACATCCCTTTACTTTGGTTCACTCCTCAGTTACGCAGGCTTTTGATGCTGTAAATGAAAGAGCTGGAGAGATTATTACCTTTTCATGATATTGAGCACGCTGATCGGTAAGTAGCAGAGAGCAAACACAAAGAGCACTACCATCAGCATGCGAGCTGTTTTGCGTCTGGCTCTGATTTGTTTGATCTCAGCGGAAACTGTGCTTGTCCTCACCCTTGCAGATTCTTCAGATCCTGAACCCGGAGTCGAGCATCTAAATGTTCTCCAGTTTCTCTGTACCACTGATGTGTTTCCAGGAATCTGTTTATGAAATATTAGACTTTTAACTACTAATATGAATACACACACACATATATATGATTTGAATCACATCTTGACATTGTGACATTAGCACATCAACCTCGGTTGTTAACGAGATTTCATCCTGTCAGAGAAGTCTGTACTGCTGCCTGCCTGAGACACCTGGAAGCCTGACGTTAGAAGTATGCTTATTCAGGGTGAGCTTACCATGCAGGGTAAGTGCTTTAGTTCATGGAAATCAGAAATTTTAGAAATGAGAAGCTGCACTTTGTCTATTTTGCTTTTCAGGGAGTAAACAAAAGGCAGGTGAATTGTAAGTAAGGTATTCAGTGTCTATTTTCCTGACACAATATAACCTACCCGCTCATAAATCCTGGATGCCTGTTTACCTTCTGTGCAGCGCAAAACAAGTTTTTCAGTGGAGTTTGGGACAATGAAAAGAGGATAAAACCACTAAGAAAGAACTCTTATTTTAAGAATCCCCTTTCAGTGAAGGTAACCAAAGAATGGTTGCAAGGAGCAGAATAAACACAAATAAAGGAAAACTCAAGTTGGTGAAAGCAAGCATAATCCAGCAGGTTTAGAGTGCAGGTAGAATGCTATTTTTTTACAAGCTCTGCTTTTGTTAAAGTGGCCTTAGATGTGATACTTCAGGTGCAGATTTTTTTCAAACTGTCATGAAATACTCACCTGCTGGCACCACAACTTGTGAAAAATCTGAATATAAGCAAGGACCATCAGGCATAATGGAGCAAAATATGTGACGATGAAGAAGCCAGTGTGGTAGACTTTTGGGTATATCTCAGCTGAAAAAAGGCAAAAATGATCAGTAAGAAAGATATTGTAACACATAAAGTATCTTATGCTGCTAAATAAATACGCTAAAAACAATATTAAAGACATCTAGATAGCAGATATGGGTTTACTGTGGTGGAACAAAGCTATTAGATGACCCTCACTCTGTTTTTTTTTAAATCAATTTTTCATGATTCTATCATCAAATACAAAAAAAAGAAACTACTTGTGTTCAGATAAATATGAAATGAGTTTACAAATCATGTTTTATTGCTAAAATACAGTAATTAAACATAAAATAAATGAATTTTGGACTTAATTTGGTATTTCTGAAAAAGAACTCTGGTTTTTGCTCCTCAGTTAAAAAAACATACAAAGGAAATACTATCCTTGTGTATCTTTTGTCGTTGATTGGTTTAAAAACCTTTTCTTTCCTTCAGGGCTTTTTTTTTTTCTTTTACAGAAGCAGTTGGACCTGATCATCCTAAAATTCATATTTTTTCTTATGAACTCTACACATATCTGTAACAGCATAAACTATTTTGTAACAGTTGATTGTTATTTAATTTTACTGAAATATTTTTGCCACATTTAGCTTCTGTTTCATGCAAAAAAAAACGGAAGGACTAACCAAATGTTTTTACATGTTCACTGGTTATCTGTAAAGAAAGAAAAAACTAACCTCCCCAGTGTTCATCACACACTGTGAACAGGCTGGTCTTGTTTGTGAGCTCAGGCAGCAGACTGCTGCACTCCATCACAATGGCCTGAGGTATCATGATTATGCACGATACCACCCAGATGGCAATAATACTTTTGCGCGCCCTCTTGGCCGTGCTCTTAAACATGAGCGGGTGACAGATAGCATACCAACGGTCTTGAGCAATACAGCTTAGAGTCAAAACTGATACAGATACAGAGATGGTCTGTGGGAAAAAAAAAAGAATAAAGTTAGAAAATAAAACGTTTCATAATTTAAATATTGTACATTCTAATTGTAAAGGTGGTAAATTATATCTTTGCCGGAAATCATAATACCAAAACTAGATCTTGATATGAACAAATGTACCTTTAACTTTCATTGGCACAACTGTAGACCCAAAAACTCCAAATAAGTAGTAGATCTGTAATGCATTTCTGATATAGTGATATCAGTTGGTTGTTTTCTCAATCCACACTCTTGCATGACCGTTAAAGATTTTCACTTTCCAGCTTTTTTAATTGTCATTACACTGTCACAAGTACAGAGTAACGAAAGGAACTCTTTGCATTTAACCCATCTACTTGGGGAACAGTGGGCTGCCATTGTGCAGCGCCAAGGGAGCAGTGTGGAGTTAAGGGTCTTTGCTCTGGGACCCAGAGTGGCAGTCTGAGGGAGTGGGGCTCGAACTCAGAACCTCATTCCAAGCCCTATGCCCAAACCACTAGGCCACCACTCGCCCTGATTCCCTTTACTTTCAATCCCTTTTATGTCACAGAACACAGCATGCTTCAGGGTTTAAAGCTCAATTTCACACAACTACTTAACACATTTATCTTGCTGATACAAATTCATCATCAATTCAAAATGACAGAAATAAAGGATACTTTCTTGGAATTATTTCTAAATCTAATTTGGTTTTATATTAACCACACCAAAACATATTTGATTAAACTTGTGTTGAAATATTATGACTAAACATTGAATTTCTGAATTAATCAGATAAAGTGATTTAATTGCCTCCTCTTTAACTATGTAGTGTAAGATTTATGTTTTGAAAGCCTTTCTGTTCCGAATTGAAGTTTTTTAAATATTTAACAAAACCATGGGATGTTGGATAAACTAAATCTGAAAAAAATATGAAATTTGAAAAACTAGACTGAAAAATAAATATGCAAAGAATGCTGATAAAAGATAGCAGAAGGAGATAACAAGGAAGACTTATACAAAAAAAATGTTAATGATATAGATCATGACAACACAGGATAACTGTGAACCCAAACTGAAAACTTAAACAGAACCAAAACATCCAGTACAGCAGATCATAACACTTGTCATTTAAATCTAATTATGCACATTGTTAAAAAAATTCATATGCTTGAGGTTTTGCTAAATAGTTGGCCTGAGTTCACTTTACCAGGCTTGTCTTTCTGACAAGACCATTTTCCCCCCCTTGTTTGTCTGATAGAAAACCATTGCTTCCACCACTATCTAAATTACCTGCTTTGGTGTATAATGCACTTAGGAGAATGCCAATCAGGAAAACTGGACACATCCAGGACTTGCTGTTGCTCTGGAACCAAATGAGCCTGAAAGTGCACTTCTCCAATTTGCTAGGAGCTCTAGGCAGCATGAATTCCAATGAGTCTGTACAAAACTGTACTAGCAGTTTCAAACACAATTCAAAAACGGATCACTGCATGTGGAAAATAAATGTTCAGCTCAGTTCTCTCAAAACAGACAGCATTACGATGAACGATGCATACCCAATCACCTTTGATGGCAATTTTTTTAAGTTTTAAATAAAATATATAATAACAACAATATTAAATACAAGAAAATAAAAAATATATACATTCTTTCCCGTAATACACCCCACATTTTTTTTCTGGATGATTATTTTATGTTAGTAAATTTTCTTTTCCAAAATCCTTTATATTAATCCCAGAAGACATTGTGACAGCATAAAAAATTAATTGTTGTACACATCTAAGTTTAATCTCATGTGGATGCAATGGCAAATGCAGGTCTGACATTACAGTAACAAAACTGAGATAATGTCTCCAAGGAAATTAACCATACATTTGGCTGGAAATCAAATCAGAATGTAAGAGTTTTAAGTCAGGAAACATCATATCATTGAAAAACAGAAATCTGTCAAAGGCAAGCAAACAATCATAATGTAATTATCCAAAATGGCTGCACAGTGAATAAAATGTGTTTACTCTATCATCTACCTTTGTCCAACAAGTAGTTTTGGCTTTGATAGAATAAAATCATGAAAAGGCATGTAATTACTTTGTATTGAAAATAAAGTCAGCTACAGTTGTGTGTTTTCTGATGCAGGCAGGACATATGTGAGGTGGAAAATGTTATAAAAGATGTTATAACTAACTGGATGGAAATGTACAGAGAGTAACAGGTGGAAATGTTAAAAACTGAAATCAAACCAGATGTATATGGAGCAGAATAACGGTTGGGGCAATCAACATACACTTACGCAGAAGTACCAACTCTGTTGGGGGAACAATGCTACTGTGGGAATATGGCTATTTATGTTGTTACATGAAAATATTGTTTTAATTATTTTCTGTGTATTTATTTTGGTTGTTGCAATATATTTTTATTGTTTCTTTTCCAGTCTTGCTTTTCTTTATGTTCAAGAATGAGGCAAGAGCATTTCCCGCTCATCTCAAGCCCGAGATATTATGGTTCTCCCCTTTTGGGACTTTGAGCTTTTAGTTTTCAGTTATCAATAATTCTATTTTGTTGATATTTGGTTTATTTTCCATTTTGTAGTATGTCTAAGCAGTCTTTAATTACTCTCTGTTGCCCCCTTGTGCCTCTCTCATAGTGACTTCCATCTACAGTACACCTGCTCCATATCAGCTGATTACCCCAGTCTTAGTTCTGTCTCCCATATATACTCCCCCTGTGCAGTTCTTCAGTATTGGTTCCTTGTTTCTTGGCTCCCCATGTGTGTTTTCTCCTGACATCTCCGGGTGTTTTGGCTTTTATTCCTGGATTTTGTTTGTTACCGGTTACTCCATTAAACATACAATAACTCATCTCTGCCTCCCTCATCTCTGCATCTCTCAACCAACCTCCACCCTCAAGTTGACACAAGACACCACTTGCCATCACACAGTGGTGTTCTCAATCAACGGCAAGGGCATGAGTGTGGAACTATAAATAAAAAAAGGTAGTGGACAGGAAGGATGCCGCCACTGCCAATGGGTTAGCCACTATACTGATGATGTTATAAATTATAAAAGGCATAACAGGTGTAGTGATCCAGTGTCGCTGATATAACTGGAACTACTCCCCTCGGAATATACACCCATCCGGCGGAGGTTTTAAAAGGGCCAGCTTCCCCATTCAACATCCTATTTTGCCAATGGCTCTGCGTTATTATTGCAAATCTCTTTGAGTTGCTGTTGGATGAACAAACTGGACCGAAGACGGGCCCAGCAGAACACCGGACTGAGCCGAAGGCCTCTACTCCACCGAACAAAAACAGTAACCCCCCCTTTTTATCTGATGCTTAACAAGTTCTCTGCTTGGGTGAACTAGGTAGGGTAGTCATGTTTGTGTTTTATTTGAAATTAGCTTTCTGATTCAACTGCTGATGGCTAATCCATTTCCACCCCATCGTAGTTTAATGCATTCCTGAGACATTATTAATTTTTCACCATAAACTGAATGAAACTTGACTGTTTTGACTGCAGTTAACATCTCTGCGTCAGGGTTTATTCACATTTGATCTGCTGCTCTTATAAAGGACATTTTCAAGTGCATTAAGCCTTAAACTTCGAACATCCCTCAGACTTTGAACGGACTCTTAAACCCCACCTCCCCTTTTATTTCTTTGGTTTTGCTTATTTTCAATAGTTTAGTGTTTGGTTAATTATTAGGTATAATACTCTGTGATTGTAGCTAATAAAGGTATCATTGTATTTTAACCCATAGTCTTTTGTGTTCATTTTACACAGTGAATGATTTATCACTCAGGCTGGATTCTATCTTTCAGTAGCATCCGAATGAACAGAGACACATTTATTTGGTTGGTAGTTAATAACGTTGCTGATAGCCATAGTCTAAATTACTACATTGGTAAAAGACCACTGAATTTTTAACCGCCAGATTCAGGACTCCAACCTTTTAGGTAAGAGGCTAAAACCCTGGTCAGTAGACCAATTAAAGTTATATTCACACAATTGATAATAATTAATTAGTTGTACCCTTGATTTGAATTACCTATTAATTAACTATAACTTCTAGTTCTGGTTATTTAATATATTCATAATCTCCTGGTAAAGTCTCACAACACAGGAGAAATGTGCTCAAGTACTATGTAATAATTGGCTACAATGAGCACACACTGTTAACAATGATGATGCATGTTATACTATTAAAAGTGGGTTTCTTTAAAGGAAAACAGACATAACTATATACAAAACAAAGGAAAAGGGAGTGTATCCTTCCGCTGGCTGCTGATGGGCCGTCTATACTATATGATTTCGGTTCATAGGAACTTCTGCATCCATACTGCAAAGTGATAGTGACCAAAAAATAGACCTAATTGATATCAAGGTCTGACATATCTCTGGGGTGTTTTAAAATTGTTCAAATAGTCTAACAAAACCAAAGCATACTTTTTCTAGCTTAAAAAAACCTTTGATAATCTGTGACTTTGTACCACACCAGAGCTACTTTTTCTGCAGGACGTTACCAGCCCTTTCTCAGAGGAAGAGGCTCGGAAACGTGCAGTACACTGTTGCATCTAAGCTGCAGAAAGTAAACATTTCAACATCATGTCCAAAAACCTGAACTATCCCTCTAAGTCATTTGCTCTGATGCTGTTACCCAACTGATTACACTCTCAACAACAGATTGATAGAAGATATACAGGATCTTGCTACAAGCACTATAGGTTCTAATTGTCCTTAAATGTATAGTCTGCTCTGTCCTTTCTCTTAGAAAACTTCACTGTTGCATCTCCAGTTAAGTCTGTTGTCCAAGTGAGCACAAGGGTTATTAATACTTCACCTCAGCTTCTTCTCCCATGAGGTAATGTCATTTGGTTTCCTTTTTGTTATTTTTCCTAAAATTAACAGTAATCTCCCTTGTTTTGTTCACATTGAGAGTCAGATTACTGTTTCCACACCATGCCACAAAGCAGTTCACTACAGTAGCTCCCTGAGCTAAGATTTTTGTCCACCTATGATGCACCAGACAACTGTAGTCATCTAGAGTAGTTCTGCAGATGGCAGGAATCTGTGTTTACTAGAAAACCGAGCTATGCAGGGTAAAAAGGAATGGTGAGCAGACTCTCCCCTGTAGTGCTCCAGTGCGCTTCAGTCTCACAAACTGTGGTCTGTTAGTCAGGTAGTCTTTGATCCAAGGAATTGTTAAGTCCTCCGAAGCAGGAGGCCTTCCACAACACTGGAACTACCTCCTTGGTCAGGCTAAGGTTTAAGAAGTGTTGTAGAGTTCGGCAGAGCTGCTCTGAATGGGTGTTCAGGACTCTGGGGCTAACACTATCTGGACCTGCTGCCTTATCTGGATTAAATCCCTCCAGTTGACTCTTCAATTAACTTCTAGAGACAGACAGGTGGAAGAAGGAGGCAAACAGAGAAACATTATTGTTTAATTTGGCTGAGAAAAAACTCCTAGAAACAAGATGGTCCTTTTGAAGAATGTCTTCAGCTCATTGTCTCTGTCCAGACTTCTGTGTTTCTTATCCTTCTCCTGGTTAAAGCCTGTGACTTTCTTCATCTCTGACCACACAACTCTGATACTGTTCTGCTCCAGTTTGTTTTCTACTTTTTTCTGTAAGACTCCTTGCTTTCTTTTGTCCTTTACTGTATCCTGTAATGTGTTTTCAGTAGCAAATAACTGAGACCAATCATTTTATTAAAAGTGATTTAATTATTTTTTCTTTAAACCAGCATACTTTTCATTCAAATGCTGTCGGCAACCCTGTCAGAAGCCCTTTAAACTGTTCTTAGAAAATGTACTTGGCCTCCAGCCCCCCACCCCCAGTTTAGTCTCCATAGCTTACATCAAATTCAAATTCACAAAATGTGTAGAGGAAAGATAATTACACCCTGAAAACATTCACCTATAGAAAGCTTTTTAAAAAAGCTGGGAGAGGGGTTAGTTTGTTGGAAAATCTTTCATGTTTCAGTAACTGGCATTCCAACTAAATTTAAATACAGTAGCCAAAAGGTGAAAGGGTCAGGCAGCAACAAAGACATAATTTATTTTTGTTTCAGTTGCTTAAGGTCTTTTCCATTTAAAAAAACCTAATAGGCATGGTAAATGTAATGCAGCCCTTTCAAACAAAGGGGCAGCACAGCATGTGAAAGATGAAATAAATGTCACAGAAAATTTATTGACAATTTGAAACCTCTTGGGTTTATTAAAGCAGCGGGGGGCTAACAGAATAGTAGTAATGACCACAAAGGCCTTTAAAATAGCTTCATTTAAAAAAATATACACTTTCTATGTATATTTTAACCCATTTCCAGAATACCCAAACTGTTTTGCTTAAACATACATGACCTCACACTGACGTCCTCATTTTGGTGTAAAGGGTTGTTCAAAATTTTATCATAAAATACAGTTCAGTTGTGTATGTGTAGATTAGAATAAAATAAATAGTTGAAAAAAAAGGTAATCAGTTCTTAAAATTGTAATTATGTAGCAGCAAAAGTCTCAGAAAATACTAATGTAAAAAACAAATACATTCTTGCTTATGGTAGACACTTATTTGGGGTAGATTTATATTTATAATAACCTGTTTCCGGTGCATGTTGGACTCCAAGAGGTCTTTCCCCTGCCACCGGTCCTTTTCATAACCTTTATGGATTTCTGGATGCAGCCAAGGGATGAATGGGTCTGGGTTTGGGGACCAGCGGATTTCGTCTGCTTTTTGCTAATGATATAGTTCTGCTTGCTCCCTCCTGCCAAAACTTACAGCATGCACTGGGGAGGTTTGCAGCCGCGTGTGAGAGCCAGCTGGATGGTAACCCGAATCCGAGGCTGTGGTTCTTGACCAGAAAAAGGTGGCTTGTCCCCTTGAGGTGGGAGGAGAGTTCCTGCCTCAAGTGGAGAAGTTCAAGTATCTTGGGTTCTATGACCCGTTTAAAGAGACCAGTCATCATGTTCCCTTTACAGAAACACAGCCCCAAAACATGATGTTTACGTCCCCATGCTTCAAAGTAGTTATGGTGATCTTGTGATGCAATTCAGTATTCTACTTCTAGCAAAATTACTGAGTTGAGTTTTTACCTAAAAGGTTTGTTTTGGTTTCATCCAACCACATAATATTATCCCAATCCTCTTTTGCATCATCCATATACTGTCTGGCAAACAACGGAAAGGCCTGGACATTTACTGGCAGGGGGAAAGGTGGGGGACACACTTGGCACTGCTGGATGTGAGTGTATCTAAGCCTAGTGTTTTAATGATGGTGGCCTTTGTAACTGAGGTCTCAGATCATTGCAGATCATTCATCAGCCCCCTTGCTCACCTTTCTAATGATAATTTTGACTCCACTGGATGAGATCTTGAATGGGCCTCAGATCAAGGGAGATTATTGGTGGTCTTATATGTCTATTCTTACATTTGCACCCAAAGTTGATTTCCCAGCCTGGTGCAGGTCTACAGTTTTCTTACTGATGTCCTTTGACAGTTCTTTGGTATTTTCTATGATCACATTTCGAGTCTGACAGTTGAGACTATGGGCTGGTGTCCTTTAAGGCCAGAACACACCAAATCCGATTTTGCATCCGATCCAACAGAAAAGCGTGTTGGACAAGGTTTTGACGTTTAGTGCTCATTAAAAGTCAATGGGGATAATCACACTGAAACGATTTTACGTAAGGGCGCTTGCGTAGGTCTGACTGAGATAGACCACAGGTCTATTTTAGTCAGACTACACAGCAATTCACTGGCAATTTAATGGATCTGAGAGGAACCTAGTTACAAAGTAAAACACATCCGCTTTCTGGGAAAATCCAAAATAAAATTTGTTAATTGCACGAGGAAAGAGTCCGTTTTGGAGTAGCATAGAGCATGCATAGCAAGCGGGACAGACTTGTGTAAAAACAATCAATGAAACATGAAATAATATAATACTTAACCCACGATAGGAGTTCAGAGGGACAGAAAACAAATACATTTGTGATCCTCTTTTAGCCTTGCAAAAACGATGGACAGTAAGCACAGTTTATCAATCTTATCAATCTTTTTTTTTATATGACTTCATAATTTTTTATATGACTTCATAAAATGTCAAATGTTGAAAATAGTTTTAATTCATAGCACAGAGACAGAACTGAGAAAAATCTGTGCAGATCTGCCCACTTCCTGGTCGTAGCCTCCCTATACGCAGTCAGTGTGACTTGGAAAAAAAAAATCGGATCAGAGATTTAAAAGTCGTACGCAACCGGTGTGTTCTGTCCTTAATACAGATAATACGTTCGAACAAGTGACAATAATACAGGTAACAAGCAGAAGACCAAAAGAGCTTCTTAATAAAGTTGTTACAGGTCTTTGAGAGCCAGAAATCTTGCTTGTCTGTAGGTGACGGAATATTTTTAACCATAATTCACAGATAAATTATTTATTTATTCATTGTTCTGTTTCTTTTTTTGTCTTTGATAGCTGAAGTGAACCTACAGTATGACGAAAATTACAGACCACCTTTAATCATTTTATGTATGAAAGCTTGGACAGTCAGTGGCTGACATTTTTTTAGACCCACTGTTTCACTTAAAGTACAATTCATGTTGCTCCATAACATTATATTTGAACAAAATATTTGTAAAATGCTCAAAGGAAAAGGGTGCCTTGTGGACCAGCGTAAATGTGAGGCGCTGGGGGGCTGATTTCAGCAATGACTGAAAGCAACACAGTGGCACTTACACTAACACAAACATACTTAGTAAGCAAAGCAATCCAAGCAATGATAGCTTTGTGATAGAGTGGTTGTATGAGGTTGAGGATTTATCCCCACTGTCTTCATCAGAAACAGAGGAAATAGTTGCTTCACAGATGCTGTTTCCCTGTCCCCGTTATTGTAGATCAAATTTATTACAGATGGCAACAGAAGCACAAATCCAGGAACAAAAAAAAGAAAAAAAAACAAAGCAAAACAGAAGACACCAGGGTGAAACACATGAGGAGCGAAGCAATGAAGAGAATCCAGCAATAAGTAACTGCACAGAAGGTGTATATATGGGGGACAGAACAAAGAAAGGGGTAATCAGCCAATATGGAACAGGTGTGGATAGAAGTAACTAGAAGGGAGCTAAAGGAAAGGAGACTGGCACAAGGGGGCAACAGAGAGTAACTCAGAAAATACAACACTGCTTAAATATAACACAAAGTGGAAAAGAAACCAATAACCAACAAAACAGAATGAGATAGAAACTGAAAACTCAAAAAGAAACTCAAAGAGAAGTCCACAAAGGGCAGAACCTTGATACCCTCCTTACTTGATGGGGACCATGACGTTTTGTGACCAATTGAAGAAAAAATAATGTAATAAATTAGAATACATTTTTCAGCTGATAGTCAATGAACTCTCATTTTTGTCTAATTTTAATGAATAATTTACATTAATAGAACAAATGCAGTTTTTGTTTTTAAAAAGCACTATTCAATTTAATAGATATATATGGTGTAGCATAGGTGGCAATTTTAAGAAAGTTATGCAACAAAGATATTGGCATGTGGCTTAAAAAAAAAAAACTGTATTGGCTGATGGCTAGTAGGAGGATTAAGCTGCAGAGAGTGACTTCTCAAGGTGCAGGGTTTTCCTGGGTTATGCCACATTCTGATGAAGCCAATAGCAAAAATCATATGCTGTTACCCTTTTTAGACTTGAGGAAAGCACCATACTGATGGTTTTAGATACAAAAATAGGATTTCAAAAATCTACCACAATATAAGTCTCCCACAAAATAATCCAATACTTAATGACCTTGGGGACTGCTAAGAATATGTATTGTTTGACAGTTCTTATTGACATGCACTGTGAATATAACAAAACCTCAGCCATGTGATTCCAATGACTTACTTATAAGTTATAAGGACATTGTAATGCATTGGGCTTTGGTTTATTCTTTCATGCAGCTTAAAATGTATTATTTATTAGTCTCTTACCTGAAGATAGGGGACGATTTTGCAAAGAGTCTCTCCAAAAAACCAGGTCTCTGTGATATCAACCACAAGACTCGCGGGCAGACATATGATGGTGACCAGAACATCAGCCAGGGAGAGGTTTACTATGAAGTAGTTGGTCACTGTCCGCATGTGACGATTTTTCCACACTGCAAAACAAACTGAGAGGGTTGCACCATCAAAAAGGAATCACAACCCCAAGAAATGCTATGTATTTATCAGTGGAGTGCAAGATAAAAGTCTATCATGACCACAAGATATGCTGTAAATCAAAGTGTTTATACTGCATGTTTGTTTATATAGACGCAGAATGTTTATAGATGGAAAATAAACCTAAAGAAAGTATGATGCTTAGGGATCATGTCGAACATTGTTCGTAAATCACAAAAAAATATGTTGTATGAAATATTGAAAAAAATATATTAAATAAAAAAGGAATCATTTTGCATTGATCACAATGAATATACATAGTTAATAACTATACCAGGAAATTATAATTCATAATTTATGATCCCACAAATAGAGGCAATGGCTTCTCAATCGGACTAGCATATACTAGGAGTTAATTTTTGTCCCCCTCAGAGCAGCTGTGCAGCTGCAAAAGAGACCATATGGTGAGCTCATCCCCTTTTCTAACCTACTGTGTGATGCCAAAGCTGCAACGCTTGCTGGGAGTGGTAGTTACAGTTAGATTTAGACATGATGGCCTGTTAAATGTGTAAAGGATAAAGGATGTGTAAAGGACTGTGGAAAAAAAACAGAGCAGCTGAGAGGGAAACAGTGTAGAAATCTGAAGCTGAAGAGATTGTCAGATAAAAAGCAGTGATGCCATGAATAAACATTCTTTAAAAATATTAAACATTTCTGCTTTTGTCCGGTCTATTTAACCGCTATCTATAAAATAGCTACCAGACAAGAAGCAGTGAGCGAAAATTGTTCCTTTGATATAGACCTTTGAACTGTGTATTCAGAAGGAATTTGTTAAATTTCCATTCCTCCTGCTGAGAAGACTTTCCTAACAGATACAGTATTAGGAAAGTTAACTTAGACCTGATGTTTGCAGCTTTAAGAATAATCAGTTTTGTCTCTTAATCTTGTTACCAGTTTGTCAGATTTATTAGGCTGTTATAGAGGCCAAGGTTTTGATTATACTCAAAGTAACAGCCAAAAGGACTTTAAGCTTTATTCCAGAAACAGCTTGGAACTAAGCTTTTCTCCAGAGTTTCAATTAACTAAGACAGCATCCAACATATGAGGCTTAAGAAATTTTGCAGTACTTTACAATTAACATAGTTCTAGTTAATTGAAATGGCTGACACAACTGATTGTATTGCATAGTCAGGTTTCCTAAAGTACACACTTCCTCTCTTAAAACTTTTTGTAATGCTTATTTCCTGAGATGAATAATGTAGTCAAAAAAGTAGATATAAATATTGTGAAAACCTAATGACTTCAATGGTTTTAACAGGGATACCATTTGAGGCTTTGGAGCAATGGCATCCTTCATCTAACCTCTTCATGCATCTTGAAAATGAAAATATCTAACTAATCTAACAGCACACCTTCTCCTCACAATGTTCTTTCTCTGCTCTAGGTTAGTGTATGTTTTGGTGACTTGACTTTTCTGCTATCAATGTGAATTAGACAACAAAAAAACAGAATTTCATTATTTAGATTATGTTATTATATCTAACCTCAAGTCGATATTACAAATAACTCACCCTGATCAGTTAGACATGCAAGTCAACTGCACTAGAACAAAATAAGCCGATACTCTTCAATCCCAAATTTTCCAAAAACAAAAATGTTAAGTAACAAAGACCCCGATAATAAATGAAAGTGTTCCATTTAGATAAATACATTAAATCAGTCCTTAATGTCTTTTTTAAGTAAACAAAAAATCTGAGCAAAGTGTCCGTTAATATTCACTGGATATATATCCCTACTACACCTTCTCCAGCTGAAGTTCAATCTTCCTTTAACACGTTCCTCTTTATTCCCTCAACATCAGTTGTCCTTTTCTCTAAGCTTAGCTCCACCGCAGCTCTCTCTACTCACAAGTGGAGATTCTTGGCTCCTAACTCTGTCTGCGTACCTTCCCTCCGTCTCTGCTCAGTTTGGCCCAGAGATGGCTGACCCAGATCCACCCCTTGCAAAACATACATTCCAAACCACGCACACCTTTCTCCCAGATGTCGTTTCAAAATTTCTATTGGTTATTTGTTAATCTAATCTCATTGATCCTTCCCTTGCCCAAGGCCATCCAGCGTGTCACCTCAGCCAATAGCTTCACAGCAATATTCAAATCTTTGATCTTTCTATTGGTGAATTCTCAGCAGCTTCAGTGTTTAGAGACTTCGCTCGTTCTATTTTCCCATAACATAGAGTAAAGTTTGACACCTTTGATTCATCACTGCTGATCTCCATTTAAAACACGTTCAACCCCTTTCTTTGAGTTATAAGGAATTATTATCCAAAGTAGCATCTGCTCCTTCACAATGTTCTGTAGGCTACGCCTTGACCAATTATTCTGGTAACAGAAATCCTTGTCATGCTCTCACACAAGCAGTGTTTTACAGCTCCTGTGGTATGGTGAGTCATGTGAACTACAGTAGCTTTGCACAACAATTAAATTTTAAAAAAGTCACGGCTCCAGAAATTGATTTCCTTTCTTTTCTCTACAACCCAATCTATACACTGATAACACCAAACCAAAACTCTGCATATTTGCACCATACATATTTGGAAAGGAAATATTCTGAAACATATACAAAATGAAATGAAACCATTTGTATACAAAATGACAACAAAAGTTGTCTAAGTTCTAATTCCAGATTGGCTGTCATCCCTTTATACATCCAGATCACACCAATGCTGAAAAAGTTTTAAAACTTTCATTATAAATGGTATTTGAGACGGTTTTATTCTGGGGTTTTTTTGTTGTTGAATTTTTGAAGTTGCCGCACAGTTGAGTATTTATCTGGATATCAATTTTTCTGGTTGCTTGGTGTCTGCTGAGGTTGCAAGGGGTGCTGGTACCTATCTCCAGCTGTCTACGGGTGAGAGGCGGGGTACACCCCGGACAGGTCGCCAGTCCATCGCAGGGCAGCACAGAAGTAAACAGGAAAAACAACCATTCATGCACACACACACTCACACCTAAGGAGAATTTAGAGAAACCAATTAACCTAACAGTCATGTTTTGGACTGTGGGAGTAAGCCAGAGTACCCAGAGAGAACCTACGCATGCTCAGGGAGAACATGCAAACTCCATGCAGAAAGACCTCTGGCCAAGAATCCGGCAGCAGTGCTACCCACTGCCCTGCTGAGCAGCCCTATCTGGATATCATATATATCTGTCTACCTAACTATCAGTCTAGTTTTATGACTACCACAAAAAAATCAGCAAAAATATGTTAATGTGCATTTTTTTTTCTTTTTGTAATAGCTATAGCTTTTTGGCAATGGACTGGAAATGTTTGGATTCAAAATTCAGTTTATTCATATAGCGCCAATTCACGCAATTCAACCAAATCACACAGTCAGACTGGTTAAAAGTTTTCTATATAAGGAAAACCAGCTGATTGCATTGACTCATTGACTTGACAGCAATCCCTCACATGCTGGTAGCGACAGTGGAGAGGAAAACTCCCTTATAACAAGAAGAAAGTTAGTCCCCTGTCAGAACGTAGTGACTAAGGTGCCTATTGGGGTCAGTGGGGAAGCTGGCTCCCTGGGAGAACCTGTTTTCCAGTTATGTGCTTCCCATCTCCGATGCTTCCCCTCACCTGCTTTGGCTGGCATTGCTTGGGAGGATGTCCCTCCTGGGGTTGGTTCTGGGGTTGTGTTTGGGGCGAGACGTGGGATACACTGCTGCTCTCCTCCCTTTGCTGGTGCCCCTTTCCAGACCATTTTTCTAATAAATATATTTTTTTCTTTTCTTTAGAGATTAAGCCTTTCCACACTGGGGTGTCTGGGGATTTCCTCTTGGGTCTATGTACCTGTTTCCCCTATGGAGATTGGCCCCTAGACCCAGGAGGATTGTGTATGTATGAGGAGTGTAAGAATATGTTTAGTGTCTGCCCCTGTATACGTCTCAGTTGAGTGGTTGTATATGTTCGTATGGGTGTAAGGGTGAGATAGTGTGAATATATCTAAATCAAACTGAATTTGTCTTTGTCTACTTGTCACTTAGTGCACCGGCCTCAGACCCCTAGGCTTTTATCTGTTCCACCTTGAACTTCACCGGCCATGGACAGATCCCATTGACTCACTGCCGGGGCCCCGTGCAAACTCGGTACTATGGACATGTGAGGTTTGGCAACTCATGGGCCCCAATTGGGTTTGCCTCCTTGGGTTGGGCTCCAGGTGCTCTCTGCTTTTCTCTGGTGGGTGTGGCCATCCCTAGGTTCCAGGTGTTCATGGATACACACTAATACAAAATACTAAAGCCAGGCATACACTGTATGATTTTCTCAATCGTTGCATGCAGCTAAAGCTCACACTGTATAGCGAAACCACGGGGTCTAAAAGTTCACTGCTCATGCGAGCTACCGGCTCTCACTGTACGTCTAAAAATCATTTCAACTCCGCAGTGAGATGGCACTACTCGGACTCGTCTATTCAGAAACCCAATTGAGTAGAAGAGGAATATGAAGCTCACTAGAGTGAAATCCGTTGCCTTGGCAATTTGTGCAATTTTTTGTGCTGAAAGTCCTAAAAAGAAAAAGCAACAACATATTTGGACAAGGACATAGCTGAGCAAACTTGGCTACTATGGTCTGTCAATTTTACAGAAAGAACTCCATTTCACTGGCCCCCTCACCATGCTTCTGTATTTTTGTCTGAGAAGAAGAATAAGAATCATTGTTTGCGCATGCACACTGAGCAAGTTACCCACGACCACTTTATGACAGCCAACTGAGTTTCAAACATGTTTGATTACTGACCTTACAATTCCTGATCGGGAGGTGGTCGTGAGAGGCTGATTGCGCCTCGTTACCCACTGTATACTACACGACGCAAGATCAGGCAGAAAGTTGGCTCAATGGAAAAATTCTCTCATGACTGGAGAATCGGCCCGAGAAGGGAAAAAATCGTGCAGTGTATGTCAGGCTTAAGCTGCAGCTACAGATACATACCACCCTGAATAATATTGTGT